AACAACTTGTATGTGACTGTGGTAATAGGCTATTCCCGTAAGCAATGATAAAACCGTTCGTGCTAATATGTACATAACATCTTTCTGCTTTTGCTTTTTAGGTTAATCGGTGTGAGATGGTTATGAAAAAATGTAATCGGTATGAAAAAGGTTAACAGAAATCTGAAAGCTTGTTTCGAATTGACTTCTTTATTTTAGACCATCTATATTATATACTACTGTTAAATTAGATTCTAGAGATTTTTAGAAATCTATTTACATAATAATGTTCACTTGGTTGAATATTTCTTGCAAAAATATTCTACAGTGATTCTCCGTGTGTTTCTTTGAAGACTTTTCAATGTTTCTATGCAATTTTGCATAATTAACGAATGTACACTGTTATGCTATGTCAATATGTGATCTATAGAAAACACCCCCAGAATAGTATGAAGTCCATGCCTCCTTCCCAAAAAAAGGACTATATAAAAATGACTTCCACGACGTCTTGATTTTAGGCCCTGCTTACCCTTGAGAGCAGATTGCTGTTTTTTATGAAGATTTTTCAGCGAAACCAAAGAAGAAATGAACTGATCCCAAACTAGCACGGAAGAAAGATTTCAAGGGTAAATGGAATCCTTTGGCTCCGCTTTTTCCCTAAAACAGAAAAATCCAGCAAGTATAAAAGGTATCCAGGGCCGTCAACAGATATTCGGTCCTGGGCTTTATGCTAGATATGATATTGTCATCAATCTCCTCCGGGCCATTTCCTTAGGGTTTAATACTACAAATCTAACCCTATTTAGACATCACTTTACACAACAGCCAGTGGTGTGGATAGAGGGAGTCAGAGGGGGCGAACCCCCCCTCCCCCCCCCCGAAAAGCTAAACTGCTATTTTATCGGAAACTTCTGATCATGTCGGAAATTTAACATGGATGTTTATCAAAGTGTTAAAATTTGCGAGAAAATATTTCAAAGTTTAGTAAAGCGATTGATTTTATTGTTCTGAATCAGATTAGCAACTTGTTTAATATAGTTCTGGTACATAAAATGACTTTTAAGTGGATAAGACCAGAAAATGGCTTTTAAGTGGATAAGCCAAGAAGTATGATTTTTGACACTTGACTTAGAATAAATGATACAAGTTCGTCTTCTGTTTTATTCCTGCTCTAATGTAGTCATATAATGTCCAAGTTTATGCAAAAATAACAGCACTTATAGATTCTCGCCCCTTCTATTGATTTTCCTGTCTATGCCACTGACAACAGCCCATGTGACAGATGTTATGATGTGTAATGAGTGGTTAATATACATAGATTTCTTGATTTTGATAGTTTTTAATTTGTAGAAAGGGCATCGTATTTTTAGGCTATGGTGTCTAATTATATTATCATTGTCACCTTTTCCTTTTATTTCGCATTTTGAATTTTCCACCAAATAGCGAATTCCTCCGGGCGTATGCATCTGCTTTTATAGATATTTGTGATAACTTCTACACTATTACCTAAAAATAGTGACGTTGTAGCTAATTGATGGAAGCTGTGATTTCAGTGAAGACTTTTTGACCTCAACAGTATGGTTTAACGTTACAACTTTACAGCTCTGCACTTCAATCCCATTCTGACGTTTAGGATTAGTAGAGTGAGTTTACCCTGATTCCCTTCGTTTTAGTAGTTACATTCGTGTACAAGTTGCACTGTAGATGTAGTGGTATATCTCGATGAAAATTGTCTTCTTTGCGTTTTCCTTATTTGTTTTCATGTCTTAACTGATAGCACATGACTATACTGATAGCTTGAGAATATATATATTCAGAAGATGTTTTTGCTTTCTACTAATACCCAACTTCGGACTGCATGGAACTGCGTAAACTTTAATTATTGTCGTTTTTTCAAGTCAAGGTTCCATCAACTCGTGCTTTTTCAGTACTTAAATACCGCAGAGTGATCTTTTGATCCATTCTGTATCCACTAATCTTGAGAGCGTCTCGGTGTAATAATTTTGGGAGGGCCTACCTACTGGCGATCGCCCGGTAGCCCGACCGGCCAGTAGGTAGGTCGGTAGATTTCTACAGTAGGTAGAAATCCTTTACCCTGGGTACCAGACTCTTTATATATAGTGAGTCTGGTACCCAGGGTAGAAATCCTTATGCTGGCAGCATTATTATTTCAAGAACAATCAACCTGCTCTGTTCTTTATTACCCAGGCCCGTAGACACTGAGGAGCAGGGGGGGGGGCAATAATTCGCAAAAACTGTGTTTAAAGATCTTTTGAATCTAAAGAAAGCGCAGCTTGATCTGACAGTATTTCGTAAGGCAGGTATGAAAAAAGCCATATTTATATTCATCCCCCCTCCCCTCCCCCCATCCAGTTTAGCTGTCTACGGGCCTGATTACCAGAATGCTGTTCTGGGGCCCTTGTTCTGTTCTAAACTTCACACCCTCAATAATACAATTGGGTATGTTTTGCGAAAATAACTCTGCAGAGGCCGGCCCGCGTAATAATTGAAAAACATTCCATTATCGAGAATCCCTTTTGTCTGTTACAATCCATTATTTTCCTTCACCGTCAAGGGAATTGTAACATCAACAGGATTGTCTTTGTTTCTCAGATCCAGGTTGGCAACAACATTGGTTGTGAAAACAAATGAAAGCAAATGAAAAGACATTGATCCTAGATACCTTCGAATACTGCACTGGTCTTGCCAAGTTGAATCTGGAAAGGGTTTTCCTTTCAAGGTATTTTCAATTTACTTTTTAATTGTTGGGATTTATGCAAAGCTGTTGATCTTTCCTGCCTTATCTTCCGTTAAGTCCTGTGATAAGCCCGTAATTTTTGCTGAGGCTTGATTTTCTTGATTTTACGGTAGTTGAGAATTGAGTCGATAGTTCTAAATTTTGTTTTTGCTTCAATATTGATTTTGCTACAAATACATTCTATGAATTAAGTAGAGGACCACCAAATGCCAGTTTCACTCATTTTTATAAAAACCAGTAAAATTAAGTCCAAGCTGGCTGTTCTTTACTTTTTCGAAAATCTGAGGCTGGATTGCTTTTAATTTCTTCTTAAATCAAAAGGGTGTACTCTTAGGAGCCTAATTGCCGTCCGCTAATTAATTTTTGAAAATTTTTCCAACCCCCCCCCCTTCCTCTTATTAGGACCCCCGCCAATTTATTTTGGCACTAATAAATTCGTTAATTACTGTATTGGAAAAAAATCAAAACTTTTGCGATTTATACCGGAAAATAAAACGAATAATACAGCTGAAGTTTGAGAATGTGTGTGGGGAATTTCGTAAGGTCGTATTTAAGGCCCTGTTACCTTAATCAAAACTCCCAATGACACTAAAGAAAAACTCACAATTTTCGGTTATAATGATTATTCTGTACGTATAATAGCCACATCTCCGGCTCCCGATCTGATTTAAATGCTTCAAAATCTATATTATTTAACTGACATAAAACTCATTATCTTTGTCAAAGAGGAAAATCGAGAATACTTTTTCAAGTTTGACAAATATAATCCGATTTCCGCTTGATTTTAAGTGCATTTTGAGTATTCAGTATATGTAATTTCATAATTTAGAACCCCGGTAATTGGAACCCCCTCCGCCAATTGATTTTGTACATAAAACCCGACCCCCCCCAGCAATTAGACACCAAAGAGTAAGCAATGAGATTGCTAGCTTTTTCGGTTTAGGTGTTCAAGCCTCATTTGCCAACACAGCAAGTGAGACAACCTTCATTTGCCGACACGTTTCAATATTCACCGAAAAAGCAACCACACATTGGTTAAAAATCCTCGATTTTGAGAAAAAAGTTGTTGTTCATTGCATTTCACAATAGCTCAGCCTCAGCTTCTTCTTAATTTGTTCTTATATTTAGACCAATTTTGAGGCTCGTGTTCTTATGAAATTGTTCTTTTAAAAAGAGTGTAGATGATGTTTGAAGTATTTTGGTTGATTAGCGGATAAAATTTTCTTTACTTCCAATCCATTATGCCCTTCAGTTGCTATTCTTCTTTGGAAAATCGAGCCTCACTGTCTTCTATAACAGAAAGTGTATTGTATTGTGCGTGAGTCTTTATATAGTCTTATGGACAGCAGAAAGATAAATAATTCTAAACAATAACTATTTACGCATTTTCTTTTTATAAGAATGCCTAGTTTTTGGCTGACCTTTAATGATATTGACATTTTTGAGCCTCAGATCATTCTTAAATTATTCCTAAGCGACACAAATACTTTTGGTAAAGCTAGCCTTAATATTGACACAGCAAACCAGTGTATCTTAATATCTGCAATTTATTTGAATCGTAGTCTGTTCCAAACCCTGCTGTTCTTCCATACTTGTGAAAGATCCAAGACATTTCCAATCAACTTGACCATTACTACTTTTCATTGATAACGCAAGGCTCTAATTACATCATACTAACGCTGGGTTTTCCAAGCTTGTGCAGCCAGAAAGAAATTCAACAACCCAACATGTAGTATGTACCGTATGCATTTATTAAATCTTTAACCTTGCCTTGAAAAAAATACTTCACACGTTTTATAATGAAATCTTAACTTCAAATTTGAATTCCAGAGTTTTAGTCTACATACTTGTTTTCACCACACTTGTCTTTGTGATATTAACTATTTGAATAAATTTGGTTAATAATTTTTATAAGGGAGGGGTATACGTTTCCTCCGTAACGAATTTTTGCAGACCCTTGCAAAGTTTTTGAATTATATACTTTCATTAAATTTGCAATGCGCGCAAAAAATTTATAAATTGCATGCAAACAGAGATAAACCCTGTCTTTGAAATGAAGGCCAACAGACGCCTCTGCGATGGAGAATGCCTACTGCTACTGTTACAGAACCTTTTGCACTGAGTACTTGGCTTTTGACCGCTTGTCAACCTTATATCTACATTTATGTTCAATTAGGTGACATTTTGACAGCTGACATTAAAAGCTGACATTTTGTTATTTCCAATCAAATTTGAAAATTGTTCTTCCATTAGCAAAGGCAACATGATTTCCTCTTACAAAAGGATGAGCCTGTATCCAGGACCAAATCGAAACCCCAGCATTCTTAGTGAAGAAACGTTGTCGCAGACACATGCAGCAAAGTTGAAAAATGTTATGTTGGATAACACATACAAAATGGAACCTGACAGAAATTCTGTATTCCGAGCTATCACAGTGAGACAGGCCGTTGAATCGATATTATCAGAAATGGTTGGGGATCAGAAATACAGTGCTAAAGAAAGTCCATTACTATGCGTAGAGCTAGCTACAGAAATAAAAAACAAAGTGAAGGCCATGGGATTCGAAAGATATAAACTGATTTGCCAAGTGACTATATGCTCCCTAGTTGGACAGGGTGTTCGAGTTGCCAGTCGTTGCATTTGGGACGATAAACACGATTCGTATGTTTCTTGTAATTACAGAAACGCTAACATGTGTGTCGTAGCTATGATGTATGGCGTTTATCACGAGTAAAGATATAGATTTGGAGTGATCACAACAAATTGTTGTGAAGCATGTGTACTTTTTAAGATTAAATCCTGCTATCGCTAAGAGCCATTGATAATAAAAAAGTTTAACTTTGTGTGACAAGGTGTCTATTTTGGGGCAGCTTCTGAGAGTCATTGGGGCAGCTTCTGAGAGTCATTGGGGCAGCTTGTCAGCAGTATTATGTCGTTTATCGAGAAATTAGCCTTGCTTTTAAGAAAATATAATGCGTATTTGAGAGCACTATACTAAATTGTATTTTCAAAAATTGAAAGTTTGTCTTATTTTTTCAATGATAGTTCAGGCAGTTACAGCAATTTCGATTTGCACCGATTTTGGACTCACAATGACACCAGGACACAATTACTGAATAATCTAAGTTTCTGTCACTGAGATAATTTTTAGTTGCTGATGATGAAACAAGCCAGTAGAAATTATTCTGCAAAAATGTTTCGCGATAAACGGTTATTCATCTTTTAGCTTTTTTGTCCATAAATTGTCCCTAAATATTTTGTCACTTTAGTAAATTTAGATTCAAAAAAATTTTAATAACTGTTAATTTTTCATCTACAATTTCTCCCAAAAAATCTATTGATATATTTCATACAAAATCCAAAAACAGGAAAGAGTGTCCTTAAATGGTTTAAGAGAAAATAATTTTAATTAATAATCAAAGAATCCAGGAAATATAGCCCTTTTTATAATTTATGTTTGCAGCTTATTCAAATTTAAATATATAGTAATTTAGGAAATGCGGCGCTCAATATAAAGACAACAGTCAAATCATATTTCACATAACTTCCAAAATAACTGTCCTTTCTCATGAACAGCACTTCTTATTAAATAAAGGAAAAACTGACAGAAATTCGACAGAGAAGATTTTGGTAAACAATAATCCATTTTGCAAAGCCTATATAGGCTTACTTTTTTATCAGACCCCAAGAAAAAAAATGTATGCTTTTTTAGCCTGAAATTTTTCTAAAACAGTAATCCGCTTTATCATTTAACTCATCTCAATAAATAATGGAAAATCTAATATTTATATGGACAGAAAACATTTTGGAAGAGAATAATCCATTTGTCTATTTCTTTCAGCTTAGTTTTCATCGAAAACCAAAGGCAAAATAATTGTGGCATTTTTATATGAAATGTTTTAAAAACGCCCCTACTCTCAAATTTAAGCACCTTCTGATAACAATAGACAAAACTGACAGAAATGTGGACGACCGTTTGCTAAGAGTTTGTGCCATAATAGACTGGAATTTAGTCAAAATAGCAAAAAGCTTTTTCCGTGTGCATTTAGTAATCAGTGAAAGCAAAGCTTGCAGAGTGGACAGAAAAAATTCCGTCGAAAACTGTTCATTTAGGCAAGCTCCTAGGCTTACCTTCACCAGAAAACGAAGGTTCTAAATTCAAGTAATCTTAATAAAATTTTCTCTGCCGTGTAATCTGTCTCATCACTGTCTAGCAAACACAGGAAGAAGAAACTAAAAATTGGACAAAACGGAAACAAGCCTTCTCAAATTTCCTAAGCCTGCAGTCTTACATTTTTGTCAAAAATTTATCACTGCAAAATGAGGTCTTTTACAAAAAAACCAACTTTAGGTCCAAGACTAAAATCAATTAAACCATTTTAATATAGAAAAAACCAATCTGTCCCTGTAAAAAAATATCTATAGCCTTTATCTATAGCCGTAAACTAAAGCTTTTCGTTTGACACTCTTCAGAGTTTAAAACGTCAGAACATTGATCAAAATTCTACGCTAGGAAATATATATACCCAGTTGTGGATCGAAATATGCCAATCAAAAAACACGAGCACATGACTGTTGAGATTGACCAATCAATGCCACTTGCCTATTGAAAATGTTACCAAGGGCATTACCAATGGAGTTTCATTTACCAAGGGCATTACCAATTTCCAAAACCCTATCGATTTCCTACATATTTTCCTAAGCGATACTACAGATAAACACTGCTAGAGAGTGACGTAAATTTACGGAACCTGTTTTTTAGAATAAAGTAACATTGGAATGTTCAAGGAATATATTGATGTGTTACTTTCTAGTACTTGTACAGAAATAGCATTTCTGATGCAGTAAATGTATCATTAGGTGCTATTTTATAGAAATTCTTTACAAGATGTTGGCTGCTAAAGGGCTCATTATAAAAAAGAACATACCTGTTTTAAGGAGAAAAAGTTTTGGAAAATTGACAATTTTTCTAAAACCTTTGGGAACTTATTATTTCGAAAAAACGCCAATAATTCGAAAACAAAATTTGATTGAAATTTTTGTGTTTATAAAAAAGTGAACTAAGCAGTTCTAAAAGGAAAAAGTTTCTGAAAAACTGACAATTTGTTTAAGCCTATATATAGCCTTTCTTTTTAATCTAAAATTTACCCATACAAACGATCCTCAACTTTTCAAAAAACGCAATTAGTTCAAAAACTAAATTCGATTATAGTCTTTTTCTGACAATAGAATAGAAACTAACCTGTTTCTGGAAAGAAATAATTCCGGAAAAAATTAAAAAATTTTCTAAGCCTTTAGCCTTACTTTTTTCTCAAAATTTGACCCCTGCAAACGAGCCTCATTTTTTCGAAAAAAGGGCTTTAATTCGAAAAATTAATTCGATTAAAGTTTTTCTAATTATAAAATATTGAACCAAGCAGTTTCTAGAAGAAAAATTTTTGGAAAAAATTGATGATTTTCTAAGCCTTTAGCCATACTTTCTTCTCAAAGATTGACCTCTGCGAACATTCCATGTTTTTTCGAAAAAGGCCTTTAATTCTAAAACTAAATTCAATTATGGTTTTTCTCTGATTATGAAAAAAGTGAACTAAGCTGTTTATAAAATATAAATGTTGTGTAAGCTGTTTATAAAATATAAATGTTTTGTAAAAAATATACGATATTTCTTAGCCTTCAGCCTTATTTTGCTTACGTACTTGTATAAAGCCTCGTATAAAGCATTCCTTGATGTGAGAGCGAATATTCGTGTGCCAAGTGACAAAATAATTTGTCAACAAAAAAAATTCTAAAAAATGCAGAAAACGAGGAAAAAGAGCTTATAATCAATGCATCATAGAAGTAGAGCATGGAATGTTTACACCATTAGTTTTTGGGACCAATTGCTATATGGGTAAAGAATACCAAATGTTCCACAAGAAACTTGACTTGCTACTATCAGTAAAATTGAACAAGAAATATTCCGAAGTGATCAGTGACATTTGGACTAAAGTAAAGTAATCTACACTTACGTTCAAAAAGGTTTGGGACAAATTCGATAAACGAATTATGGTGTTGTGTTGGATTCGTTTTCGCAACGGAAACTTCTTCAGATTTGGGCAGTCTTTCTCCAAATAATCTAGGCCTACGTTAAGAAAAGTTAAGAAAATGCTTCATCTTAGAAAGCATAACCTTGAAAACATAGGATTCTTAAGATTTTTCTGAATATAACAACAAAATATGCAGAAGGGTTGAATAGCCTAATAACGGCAAAATCACATGACCTTCACCAAATTTTAGAGATGTCCAAACAAATTCAACTTTTTAATTTCACGTTTGCATAACAAAGAAATTGATAAAAGAAATTACAAAATAAATTTTTCAAGCTTCAAATAAAGTCTGCTACATCAGCGAAAACGCTACAATCCTATTAAATAATTGCATTTACTCGAGCTACTTTTAAAACTGCGTAACATTCAAGGAGAAGCCATTGTATTTGTCGGCGATGTTTAATTTTTGTTATGAGAGAGCATTTTCTTCCTATAAAGTTGGAAAATTGGTATTTTTCTCGATTTTAATAGCCATGTTTTTGCTTATGTTCCAATATTTAGCTTCTTTTTACATGACAACATGATTTCTAGTAAGGATTCAAACCTATTACTTTGCAGTTCTCTCTGTAAAGACCTTTCGTCCCACGGCGTCGTAAACTTTTTCGGGCTGCCATCCCTGGGAAATTTTTTACTGATCTTGTACGGAAAATCTTTCTACACCCCAGGAAAAGTTGCACTCATTGAGCAGCCGACAATTAATGCAATTTTACGAAATGAATTTGCTTTATTTTAGAAGAAGGCAATTTGTAAGCGCTTCTCCTAACTCAGTTCTTGAATTTTAAGAGCCTCCAGGTTTTCATCTCAAGGCCTATAAAAATTTGTGGTCGATGTATTTTGAATTATTTGGCGTACATAAAAGGCTTCGAAACATCAACAATGTCTTATGGAAATTTCATGGGAATAGCTGCCGTTATGTTTTAATGAGAAAGATTTTAAAAAAGTCTTTCCAAATTTGTTGCATAAAATGTCTTCGAAGTTTCGAAATTTGTCCCAATACTTTTTGAATGTAAGTGTAGTTTGCTGTGCTTGAGAGGATCAAGGACTGTTTTTGAATTATTATTTATATAGATTCGCTCTTTTTTTGGTAGATTAATTTGAAGAACTTTTATACTGAATGTAGACATGTAGGTTTTTAGATTTAATTAATTTTTGGAAATTTATTTGCAAGTTTAGATGGATGAGATTGCACTGAAATTATTTGAAAAAAATTAAAGCCTCGTTGATATGTTGTGTTCTGTTCTGTTTTATTAACCTCGTATTGGCATGAATCACATCAGAAGAGCGAAGAGCTGATGGCCGATAATAAAGAGTTTTCACTTATTTTTATAACAGTGTTTCAACGGGCAACGAGCAACGATGTCTCGATAAAGATGAACCCACAGGCCAAAGCAGTAGTATGTTCCCTCTCACCCTTCAGAATACGAAGGAAACACGCTACAAGCATTCAGGGATTCTATAGACTCATGGTGGTCGTGGGAAATGTGGTCTGAAGTGGCCTCAATTGGTGAACTGAAAGACGATACATCAAATGCCAATAGGAAGGAAAGGAACACAAAGCAAAGGGAACTTCGCATGTGTGTATTTACAGGCGAGCGATTGAAAAAAGATATCAAAGCTGAATACAACCAAGATGTGGCCAAATTGAAATCTGCTGATTTTGATGAAATGGTACAAAAGTTGCATGAAAGATACAGCCTTCTCAAAACTTGGTACTTTTGCACTATCAGTTTCATCAACTCAAGCAGGAACCAGGTGAGTAATTTGATGCTTTTATTAACTAAGTCTGTCAACATGCTGATAAATGTGCATTCAAGTGTACAAATACTTCCTGTACTGATAAGGATCAAATTCACAAGACTTTGATAAGAGATTAAATTATAATAGGCACCATTAAAGCTAGTATCAAAGAAAATTCTCTTGAAAACAATATGATTTGGCCTCATTAATTTCAGCAGCCAGAAAAATTGAAGCAACTGAAGAAGCCACAAAATTGATAGACTCTGATTCTCTTAGTAGTTTCTTTCAAATTATCTCTATTGAAAGTGAAGATCCCCAACATACAACAGTAAATAAAATCGGTAAAAAGGGGGGAAAATACTGCGCAGCTAAAGATGCTTTTTGCAATTCATGTGGTAAAAACAGTCATTTTTCTGCTGTCTACTTCAAAAGGGCACAAAAGGTGTTTCCATCAGTTGCAAGCATCATATCCAAGTATGAGAATGTCTTTACTGGTCTTGGCAAACTGAAAGCAAGCCCTGTTCATTTTCATTTACAACCTGAAGCCAAACCAGTCATTCACCTGCCAAGACAGATTCTATATCACTTACAGCCACACTTTGAGAAACTCATTTGTGAGATGGAAAATGATGACATCATAGGTAAACCTGCTGGTCCAATGACATGGCTTGCAATTCCCGTTCTAGTCTCCAAGCCAGATGGAAACATAACAATCATAGTAGTTTTCAGAGGCCTCAACCAAGCCCCCCTAAACCCCCACTTGCCCATATCCTGTGTAGAGAACATCACGCCCATGTTCAATGGATAATCGATCTTCAGCAAGCCTGATCTCAGAACAGCATTTTGTCAACTGGAACTTGATGCAGCATTCCGTCCACTAACATTTTTTCATGCCTGCGACTGCCTAATGAGATATAAACGCTTCGTCATGGGTGTGTTACAGGCATTTGGAGAACTTCTATCCTTTTCTTTTCACCCTATCATTGCCAACATACCAAATGCAGCAGTGATTCAAGACATTGTGATTGCAGCAACTGACATGAACAGCCACAATAACACACTGCAACAGGTTTCGCACCTTGTGACATGCTCTTTTGTGGCGGCTACTTCTCAAGATTTCCAGAACATCCCCCTGTCACAGATCAACAAATCAAAGATGCTAGATAATGAAACCAACAGCACAAAACAGCAGCAATTGAAAAAAAATGCTTCCAAATAGAGGAAATACCCAAGGATTATTCAAGGAAACGAAGTCCTTCCAATGCGCTTCAAGGGAAAAAGGCAATTCAAATCATTCTATGAGCAAACTTATGTTAAATGATGTTATTGATGTTAAAGGAACGCAATACACACTGCTTGCAAGGGAACGCGGTGTCCAAGGCAACCAATGATTCACCACACCTCAAAAATGAAACTATATCAACAGCCTGCCAAAACCTCGCCACTTCATTTCATGCCTAGCCAACCCACACCAACATCCTATGGTCTAATATATCACTTTTCAAGTAACACAAGACAGAAGACAAATCAAAATGAGCCTTTATATAAGTGAACAAAGCTGTTTTTAAAGGAAAAAAATTTTGGACAAAATTGACGGATTTGCTAAGCCTATAGCCTTACTTTTTTTTAAAAATTGACCCCTCAGAACGGTGCCCATTTTTTCGAAAAAATGCCTTTTCTTGCCAATCTAAATTCAATTATATCTGATTCTGACCTGATATAAGTGAGGAAAGCTGTTTTTAAAGGAAAAAATTTTTGGACAAAATTGATGATTTTGCTAAGCCTATAGCCTTGCTTTTTTTCAAAAATTGACCCCTCAGAACGGTGCCAATTTTCTCGAAACAATGCCTTTTATTCCAAATCTAAATTCAATTTTAATTGATTCTGACTTTATATAAGTGAACTAAGCTGTTTTTAAAAGACAAAAATTTCGGACAAAATTGACGATTTTGCTAAGCCTATAGCCTTGCTTTTTTTTCAAAAATTGACCCCTGAAAACGGTGCCCATTTTCTCGAAAAAATGCCTTTTATTCCAAATCTGAATTCAATTTTAATTGATTCTGACTTTATATAAGTGAACTAAGCTGTTTTTAAAAGAAAAAAATTTCGGACAAAATTTTAGATTTTTCTAAGCCTATAGCCTTACTTTTTTTCAAAAATTGACCCCTCAGAACGGTGCCCATTCTTTCGAGAAAATGTCTTTTATTCCCAATCTAAATTCAATTATATCTGATTCTGACCTGATATAAGTGAACAAAGCTGTTTTTAAAGGAAAAAAATTTCGGAGAAAATTTACGGATTTGCTAAGCCTATAGCCTTACTTTTTTTCAAAAATTGACCCCTCAGAACGGTACCCATTTTCTCGAAAAAATGCCTTTTATTCCAAATCTAAATTCAATTTTAATTGATTCTGACCTGATATAAGGGAACAAAGCTGTTTTTAAAGGAAAACAATTTTGGACAAAATTGATGATTTTGCTAAGCCTATAGCCTTACTTTTTTTCAAAAATTGACCCCTCAGAACGGTGCCCATTTTTTCGAAAAAATGCCTTTTATTCCCAATCTAAATTCAATTATATCTGATTCTGACCTGATATAAGTGAACAAAGCTGTTTTTAAAAGAAAAAAATTTCGGACAAAATTGACGATTTTGCTAAGCCTATAGCCTTACTTTTTTTCAAAAATTGACCCCTCAGAACGGTGCACATTTTTTCGAGAAAATGCCTTTTATTCCCAATCCAAATTCAATTATATCTGATTCTGACCTGATATAAGTGAAGAAAGCTGTTTTTAAAGGAAACAAAATTTGGACAAAATTTATGATTTTGCTAAGCCTATAGCCTTACTTTTTTTCGAAAATTGATCCCTGAAAACGGTGCCCATTTTCTCGAAAAAATGCCTTTTATTCCAAATCTAAATTCAATTTTAATTGATTCTGACTTTATATAAGCGAACTAAGCTGTTTTTAAAGGAAAAAAATTTCGGACAAAATTGATGATTTTGCTAAGCCTATAGCCTTACTTTTTTTCGAAAATTGACCCCTGAAAACGGTGCCCATTTTCTCGAAAAAATGCCTTTTATTCCAAATCTAAATTCAATTTTAATTGATTCTGACTTTATATAAATGAACTAAGCTGTTTTTAAAAGACAAAAATTTCGGACAAAATTGACGATTTTGCTAAGCCTATAGCCTTGCTTCTTTTTCAAAAATTGACCCCTGAAAACGGTGCCCATTTTCGAAAAAATGCCTTTTATTCCAAATCTGAATTCAATTTTAATTGATTCTGACTTTATATAAGTGAACAAGCTGTTTTTAAAGGAAAAAAATTTCGGACAAAATTGACGATTTTTCTAAGCCTATAGCCTTACTTTTTTTCAAAAATTGACCCCTCAGAACGGTGCCCATTTTTTCGAGAAAATGCCTTTTATTCCCAATCTAAATTCAATTATATCTGATTCTGACCTGATATAAGTGAAGAAAGCTGTTTTTAAAGGAAAAAAATTTGGACAAAATTGATGATTTTGCTAAGCCTATAGCCTTACTTTTTTTCGAAAATTGACCCCTGAAAACGGTGCCCATTTTCTCGAAAAAATGCCTTTTATTCCAAATCTAAATTCAATTTTAATTGATTCTGACTTTATATAAGCGAACTAAGCTGTTTTTAAAGGAAAAAAATTTCGGACAAAATTGATGATTTTTCTAAGCCTATAGCCTTACTTTTTTTCAAAAATTGACCCCTGAAAACGGTGCCCATTTTCTTCGAAAAAATGCCTTTTATTCCAAATCTAAATTCAATTTTAATTGATTCTGACTTTATATAAGTGAACTAAGCTGTTTTTAAAGGAAAAAAAATTTGGACAAAATTGATGATTTTTGCTAAGCCTATAGCCTTACTTTTTTTCAAAAATTGACCCCTCAGAACGGTGCCCATTTTTTCGAGAAAATGCCTTTTATTCCCAATCTAAATTCAATTTTAATTGATTCTGACTTTATATAAGTGAACAAAGCTGTTTTTAAAGGAAAAAAATTTCGGACAAAATTGACGATTTTGCTAAGCCTATAGCCTTACTTTTTTTCAAAAATTGACCCCTCAGAACGGTGCCCATTTTTTCGAAAAAATGCCTTTTATTCCCAATCTAAATTCAATTATATCTGATTCTGACCTGATATAAGTGAACAAAGCTGTTTTTAAAGGAAAAAAATTTCGGACAAAATTGACGATTTTGCTAAGCCTATAGCCTTACTTTTTTTCGAAAATTGACCCCTGAAAACGGTGCCCATTTTCTCGAAAAAATGCCTTTTATTCCAAATCTAAATTCAATTTTAATTGATTCTGACTTTATATAAGCGAACTAAGCTGTTTTTAAAGGAAAAAAATTTCGGACAAAATTGTAGATTTTTCTAAGCCTATAGCCTTACTTTTTTTCAAAAATTGACCCCTGAGAACGGTGCCCATTTCTTCGAAAAAATGCCTTTTATTCCCAATCTAAATTCAATTATATCTGATTCTGACCTGATATAAGTGAACAAAGCTGTTTTGAAAGGAAAAAAAAATTGGACAAAATTGATGATTTTGCTAAGCCTATAGCCTTGCTTTTTTTCAAAAATTGACCCCTCAGAACGGTGCCCATTTTCTCGAGAAAATGCCTTTTATTCCCAATCTAAATTCAATTATATCTGATTCTGACCTGATATAAGTGAACAAAGCTGTTTTTAAAGGAAAAAAATTTCGGACAAAATTGACGATTTTGCTAAGCCTATAGCCTTACTTTTTTTCGAAAATTGACCCCTGAAAACGGTGCCCATTTTCTCGAAAAAATGCCTTTTATTCCAAATCTAAATTCAATTATATCTGATTCTGACTTTATATAAGTGAACTAAGCTGTTTTTAAAGGAAAAAAATTTCGGACAAAATTGCTGATTTTTCTAAGCCTATAGCCTTACTTTTTTTCAAAAATTGACCCCTCAGAACGGTGCCCATTTTCTCGAAAAAATGCCTTTTATTCCCAATCTAAATTCAATTATATCTGATTCTGACCTGATATAAGTGAACTAAGCTGTTTTCAAAGGAAAAAAATTTCGGACAAAATTGACGATTTTTCTAAGCCTATAGCCTTGCTGTTTTTCAAAAAATGACCCCTGAGAACGGTGCTCATTTTTTCGAAAAAACGCTTTAAATTCTAAAACTAAAGTCGGTGATAGTTTTTTTCTGATTAGAAAAAGTTCACTAAGCTTTGTCTAGAGAAAAAACAATTAGGAAAAATTTGAAGACTTTTTAATCCTATAGTCTTAATTCTTTTATCAAAAATCGACCCTTGTCAAAAGTCCTTAGTTCTTCGAAAAAATGACTTTAATTCGAACGTAAACTCATAGTACATTGTTATCATATAGAAGAGAATCAAGGTGTCTCGAGATAAAAAAGTTTTCGAAAAAATCAACGATGTTTCTTAGTCAATAGCCTTTCTTTTTTATCAGATGTCGCAGGTTACAAACCTCTTCGAATTTAGCATGTAATTTTCCCAAAATAGCAATTAACTTTATTTTTCAGCATTTCCTAATTAATTGAGGTAAAATTGGCAGGTTTTTGGACAGTAAATATTTGGTAGAAAATCATTCATTTTGGTAAGCCTAAAATTTTAAATATTTTCGCTCCCTCGAATGCAAGTAATAAACCTCTTAGAATAGACTTTTACCCTGAAACAAGCATATTATAATAGGAAACAAGGGTAGTCAAATTCTTAAAGCACGAGACTCTTAATTATAAATTTTGAATTCAAACTGTTTTTCTTTCCTCGTACAACGTCATTTTAAATTCAAAGTCAAAGTGTGATTCTGGCTACGTAGGAGGCACAGCTCAAAGGTTAGGGCATTGAATTTCATTTTTCATTTCTATTGTATCTTTTTTACCCAAGGTAGCCCCTCAGTTGGGGACTGATTTACAGGAGGGCTTGTTAAAATATACAAACAATATCTAATTAAACTTAACTTTAGAAAATCAAACTTATCCATAATGTAAATAAAATAGTTAAAAGAAATCTCTTATACATACATTATAAAAAAAGGAAAAGGAAGGTATGATTGGTTTTTCGTGAACAGTTTATTAATCTTATATCGCTTTCATAAATTATTTAAAGTTGACGTATTTTTTGACTTTTTAACAGTATAAAACAGTATGTCCCTTCTAGAGTTGGAAACAAAACTCTCCGCAAATGAGAACAGTCTCCTCCGTTTCGGTCACCGGAAACCTATATAGATCACCAACATTGTTGAAAACCAGGATTCCATATCATAAAACATACATAAAATAGCTAGGTCATACAGGAGAAGAAGATAAATTTCAAACAAAATGCAGAGTTTGATGGTCTATAACGCAGTTCTGTGTTTGGTGGTTCCATCGAGAGTACGAGGGAATGACTGCCCAATTATAAACTTTACTTTTGAGGCTTGAAACTTTTTTTACAGGAAGAATTTTCTTCGACTTGTGTCCATCTCTCTCCTCTGTAGAGACAAACATTATTGGCAATTATGACTGAATAGATGACAATCGCAGTCATCAAGGAGCCGATAAAAGGGCACTGGCAAAAGATGTTAAGTAAAATTTGATATTACCAACGGAAAGAGTTTATAGCTCAAACGTGAGTTAAAATTCGTTCAGCATCTTGAAAGTGGAAGGGGAAAGCGGTACGCAATAATCACGCAGATTTATACTAACAAGTGGCTAATATCAAAGCAATTAATTTATGGTGAGTTTGCTAGCAGAAAGAAGAAAGTCATGTTTCTATACATTGCCTAGTTGGTTTTCCTTCCATATTCATTCAAAGCCTTTCCAGTGCGTGAAATAAATAGGGCAAAACCTGCATCCACAAAAATAAAAAAGCAAATAAATATAAAAAAGCCCCATTTTGAAAAACTTGCAATGGGCAATTTACTTTAAACCTTAGATGTACAATGTACAGGATCCTGCTTCACTGGGTTTAGCTTTCGCTTTCAGCTGATAATTATGCCAAATAGTTTTGAAGCATTGATGTATTATAGCAAACGAAAGAGCTCCTGCATTGAATGGTGATTTCTTTCCCAACCCATTCTACAGCAAATGCTGCTTCTGTGTTTTATGATGATAACAAGTTTGTCATATTTTACCTTGTGTATCCATTCGTATTCTCCATATTTTGTATCGAATGTTCCTTTCTGAAGCCAGCGAAGTTTCAGTGTAAAACGCGGACCAAGCTCTTGCAATCCAACTTTCTCTTTGTTTTTGAATATATATCTACAATAAAAAAAGAAAGACATCCGGTTGTATGTTGGAAAAACTAAGGTATCATTGATATTATTCACGGGTCAATAAATAGCATAGGATCACAATGAATGTTGGCAGTTTGGCCGATCATCCAATTCCTCGCCATTAAATTTTTTAAAACAATAATTAACAAAACCGGAAAAAATTGATCTAAGGAAACAGAAAAGCTACGATTTGCGTAACTTTCAAGCTGTTATCAATCAGGCTATTCGATATTCCATTACAACAACTAAATCATTACAACAATAGAAACCCTAGGCTAAAAAATAAAAGCCCCGGCACAGACAGCAACAGCTTCAACAAGAAATATCACTTTTTACTGCTCCCATATTTACTTGCAGTGTATGCGCTTGGCTGTGGTGTTCTGAGATTAAACCACCGTTTTAAATCTTGTTGACATCACGCCTATGTTGTCAAAAAAGTGACAAGCAAGAGCGTAAAACTGGGACATGAGTAATCAAATTTCAACACACGTCCCACAGAGCTCTATGATGCTCTATGAAATTCAATTCGTTTGACGAACTTGTAATGTGATCAAAATCCTCTTCGATGTTGTTCCAGGTTTTTCAACAAAGCTCAAATTCCAATGTTTACAATATTCGGTGACATGGTTATAGATTTGACAACCTTTCCAAACGTTCTATTGAGACGCTCATTCCTTGTATCAACTATACAAGATATGAAAAGGTTGGACATGCAGAAACTTTCGATGAAATATTCGCTGCAATCGACCAATCTTTAATCGAACATTGAAACATTTAGGCTTTTTCTAAATTTAACTTGACTCACGCGTTGCCAACGTAAAAATATTTAATACTAACCTATGGTGGCGAAAAAAGATAAAGTCTCTCTGGTTGTGAAACGTTATACATCTTCGGCCTTGAAATTGAGGGTCATAGGGAAACAAAGCTGCAAGAAGTCTACCAACGGAATGACCCAGCCTCGTGTTGAAGTTATTGAGCACTAGTTCAGGCCGGTGACTCGTAGCTTTACCATGATTCTAAAATAGAAAAAATCTTTCTCAAATATCTGAAAGCAAGAATACTTGGAGGCAGCTTCCATTTTTTTCAGTTTAGAGTGCGGCAAGAGAGGTTAAAAAATTGAATTTTTCGTGTAAGGTAAGGTATATAAGCAAACAACACTCATGCATATTGGCATAAAATTTATATCTCTAGTATTTACTAGAATGCAACATTTCGTGGAAAGTAGATATCAGGCTTATTGATTGTTTATATACAAAATCAACAACTATAGCATGTTACGGCTTCCGATATGGCACTTACAGAAAATCAAAGATAATACTTTAAGACACAAAACATAAAACAAGAAAATTAACTTCTTTTATTCGTCAACACTCTTCCTTTTAGTAAAACTTAAAGAGGTACTTGAACAACAAACGGTTTAGAAAAATAAGTATAAACAGGCCACAAAGAAGAGAAAAGCAGAAGTGAAACTTTATTGATAAAAAGTTCGAAGATTTTTGAAAGCGCATGTGCAAATGTATTCGAGTCCAAACAAGTTTGTCATCGGTCAGGAAGCTCACTCAAGGATTTTTGCCGCACAGTTAATGCTTTTCGTTACTCGTTATTATAGAGCATATGACTCTAGTGTAGGCAAAACGACCCCGTGGTGAAAAGTAAAGCAATATCTACTCAAAACGTGTTAGTTTTTCGATGTGGTATACTCATTGGTTTTCATTTAGACATTTAAAATATGGTGGGACTGGATTTTGGTTTCCTTCAGAGAGTTTTCTTCTTGGTTACTGTTGTTGAGCCATCGTAATTTAGTTGCAAACAATTTTGGCCATTGATCTGAATTTGGGAGCAATCAACGTTCAAGCTACTTTATGAAATCGGTAGTTTGGTCATATGGCATACGAAAAACTGTTGAACTGAATGGAGGAAATTATTTCTGTTGTTGGTGTCCTTTCATGCTTCGGGCCTTTGGAAGATTATACTTATCTTTTTAATTTTTTATTATTCGTATATAAAAGTTGGCACTTATCATTCATTTCACGGTAAACTTTTTCACAAAAGGTCATATGTATATCCTCATCAACCATACACAACTTCTAGACTCAAAAAATATTGACGGAAGCCTTTATAAAAACAAACAAAGACATAGTACCTTTATTGACCGTCTTCTTCTCACATTTGATATCTTGAAATGCGCTGTCGGGCCATTTGGTAGATGACATACTAACAAAGCATCTGAGAAAATATTCATTAAGGATTCAACTCTCTAAAGTGCGGAAAGCAGAAAGCTCAAGCTAGTTGAATGAAACCAAGGAATCGAAGAGCAAAAAAACGTTTGAGTATAAAATATACATGTAATTGATCTAACCCACTTTTAAAAGCAGGATAATTTATACGCTGAAACCCATATATTTAGGTGCCTTTACTTTTCAGTTAAAATTGGCAAAATTCAAATCAACTGAAAAAGTCAGGAATACATCAAAATGACTACACAATGCCACAATAGAAATAAAGTTTCCTAGATATACATAGTTGAATAGTCTGAAGATCTAAGGCTTCGATTTCAAGTCGGATTTTGAAACCTTTAAATACGTCAAAAAGTAAATCAGCTGACAACAAAGGAGTTTGAGGAAAGAGTTTATCAGTTGAGGAATATGAAAAATTGTATAAAACAGATAGCAAAGATTCTATTAGATTTTTGACCATCACTCTACGGGTATTTTGACCTTCACAACCCATGCTCTATCAATGAGGATTTTAGTAAGTTTTTTAGAAAAATGCATCAGTTTGGCCAATTCTAGAGAACAGGTCTTAAGAACACTACTCGGAAATCATTTGGTAATACAAATAAGTTTTGACATGTTCAATTGCAAGACAGACTTGCAAATTTTACGGATAGAGAATATTATAGGACTATCAGGGCAGAGGTAGAAGGATTGAATTTGAAGCAAATATTGAAACACTGAAGTTAGATTTAGCGAAATTGGTGATTAAAGAGCTTCTTTCAATGGAGGGAAGGCAGATTCACAGAGGTTCTGGGAGAAAAGCTTTGCCATGGGTTGTAATGAGTAGCAACCGGCTGCACAAATGTACCGGACAAAGGGAACTAAATACCTTATGTTGACAGCTTTGAGAATTTGAGCATGACGATGACTCAGATTGAAGAGGTTGTTACAGTTTCAAACTTTAAAGCAATGACTTTCAAGCTAGACAGCTTTCACACATTTAATTTAAACCAATATGGAGGAAAATTTCATCAAGGTTTTGTATCACTAAAATGAAGTCTTAAGAGGGTGTAGATTTAGCAAGGTGCGTTGATGGATGGGTACACTGCTTTTTATCAAAAACTGGTCAGTTGAGCGCCAGAATTGGTCAGAACAAAAGGGTCTTGGGCATGACGCTTGAAGTCAGTGGAATGTATTCACCAACTCCATTTGGGTAGAAAGAAGAAAATCGTGCATAACTAGGTAACTAGAGATATGTAATGGTCACAAGTTTAGGAGGTCAAATTTGGGCTTCATTAAGATATGTGCTGAAGTTGGTGCAATTGAACTTTAGCAGCAGAGTTTAGCCAAGAGCAAATGAGAGATACCCGAGTATAATGTGGCCTGAGATTGGTATCACAAAATAGCATAACTGGCTCATCATTTACGAAGGTAGCCTAATAACACTAACAATGGCTTTGAGACTCTGAACTACCTGGCCGCAGACCTACAATGCACCTTCTCAACCAGTGCCATTAATAATACCAGAGCAGCTTCCTGAAGCCAAAGAAAAACCTATACTTATTTAAAGGCCTGACATCTCTACCATAATACAGAAAGGGACAGCGTCTCTATATGATGTTAGACCAGTTTACCATATGAAATGACAAGAAAGCTTCATCTATACTGCCTATTTAATATCTCATCAAATCCCTCAAAACCACTATGCATTATCTACAGATAAAAAATAATTTAAATGAAAAATATAGATTAATGCTGTATTAAAAAGGATACTGGCTTTCTTATGGTCTTCGTTCACAACCAAAATGTCAGTGAACTCCTTTTCTATTGCTTGTGGAACCATCTTTTTTATGTCAATGCCTTTTCTCTCATGATACTCCGAGTTGGGTATGGTCTGTTTGAGATCTTCAACAAATTTCATTGTCTCCTGAATATTAAAAGAAAAAATTAATAGAATATTCAAAGATACAAAACATAGCTTACAAATAAAATCATAAGTGGAAATGGAATCAGGGCTGCAAAAGCATTGGACCCAGCAAACTAGGTTCTAAGAAATTTTTTAGTGCTGGCAAGAAAAAAATTGAATGAAAATGAACACAGACACAAGTTAAATCTGTACCCATTTGTTTGCAATATCTTCAACAAACTACTGATACAGCATCATTAACTTTCAAAGAACAGAAGCTCTACCATATATGGTCATTTTAACTGTATTTTAAGTAAAGTTAGATAATTCTGCCAAAGCACTTCAGAGGTAATTGCATTATATGGTTATTAAATGTCAATGTGATAGGTACAATCAGTGGCCATTCCTGTTCAGGCTGATAGGAAAATGCCAAAAAGAAGTTAAAATTTTGCAACTTCAAAGTTATAATTTATAAGACATTAAATTATCTATAATACGCTAAAAAATGTTGCTTGTGTCTTTTCATGTGAATAGGCCACAAACATAATATTCCTTTCATACTTACATGGCACTTGGGTCTACTGCTAGTAGTTATAAGAATCTTGGGAATCCTTTCACATTTGAAATAGGATGACAGCTCATCTGTCAGCTCGTCTGCCAGAACTTCTTCATCCTCTGGATCAACCAATGTTTCATCTTTAACACGCATGTTTTCTGTGGTTTTTGGTATTTGTTTTTTCTAAAAGATGGCAAATTACTTAAGACAAGAATGAGCACATGTTGGAAATGAGCAAGGTAATGTTAAAGTGTTATAGTTAGGTGGAAAAGTCAAACTGACTGGATTCAAACAATTGGTTATTGCTATTCAAAAATTAAGATTAGTCACTGACAACAAATGTCACATAAATGTGGCATGCAAAGCCTAGTTGGCATTAAAAATTCTTCAGAAAGTTTCCATAACTCAAGTCCTCTTCTGAAAAATGTGCAAAGATAAGCTTTAATCAATTGGTAAAAAGACTATCACCAATAATCAGAGGAATGAATAGATATCAAAAAAAACTTTTCTAAGGTTTTTAGAGTGTTAAATGCTTTGTTGTTCAATAGTATCTTAAGTATTCTCTCTATAAAGACTTTTGTCGAGATTGGAAATCATCATGTTGAAATTAATTTACACTGAAAACTTCATGTCATTTAGACTGTTTAGTAGCAACTAAACAATTCTTGAACATTCAGATATTGCTAATATTCAGATATTCAGAGAGTAGCATGTTTTGAAGATTCAGATATTTTTAAAGCTCTGACTGGAATTTGTTGCTGCTGTAAAAAGTTTTCATTGCAGCAGAAAATTTTAGTGAAATGTACAAGTTAGGCTAATTTTTTGTAAAAAGCATAATTCCCAGACTCTTCAAACAAATGAAAGTTTCTGCACAGACTAAATGATTCAAATTATATGATCCATTTTTGGCAAATATGAATATAAAAAACTGACAATGCTAACTTTGAAATGAGAATCATTCAACGAGTGTTTCATACATATTAAAGATAAGCTAGCACCCAAACCAAGAAAATAAACAGTTATCTCTGGCAGAAATTTGTGAATTGGTTTTATTGATTGAAAACACCCATTGATTTTAAAGTGATTTTCTTGATTAACAAATATCAACTCAGATTTTCAATATAAACTTGTTCAAACATTTATTTTGCTCCCTGAATCAGATTTCCCCTAAATTTTTCAACAGAAGTTGTCTTTTGGTTTGACAACAGAAATCAACCAAACAAGGCTTATGTGATGTATTTTAAAATGAGACACACTGAAAAGGTAGGAAATCTATTTAATGATATTTAAAAGCTTTCCTGCAATTATTTTACCTTTAAGTTTACATTTTCATCATAAAATTCATGGAGAAACCAAAGAGAAATGCACTGCTATCATTGAAAAACCAAACAGTCCTCAGTAGCATAAAGAAACAATATGAAGACATGAAATTTTAGGCAGACCTGTCATCGAAAATTCGCCCCGGCTTCCATAAATTAGCTATTTTGCTAGAAATACATCACACTACTTTTAGAGGAGAATAACATTTTAGGGGTGTACAGTTAATCACCAAAATGCTTCTTTTTCAAGTTACGGATATTTTAATTAAATCTTGTCTTTAAATAATTTACATCTCATGTCTACCTATGTACCCTAATAGAAATTTAGCCTCATCTTTAACCCTTTCAGGGCGGGAAGGGCCATATGGTCTAAAACAATGCTGCTTTGCCATTCTTTTTTCTTGTAACACCTATTTCATAAAAGGCTGTAGAATGGCTCCTCTCAGTCTTTCTAAAGATGTGCATTGTGCAGATGCCCAGGTATTTCATGTATTTGGAAGCTGATTATGTAAAGTTTTAAATGAGTTATTTTATTGATTCAAAAAACTATTGTTCTTTGAATAGCTGGACCCATTCCCAGTTTTGCCCCAAACAAGTTTTTTCAGAAAATTTTTCTTAAATTCAACTTCTCCTGGTCTGTTAACCTTATAAAAACATATCTATGTAATAATTTTTTTATTTCAATTGAACCTTTATTTAGCCTTGAAAGGTATTTAATGCAGTTTTTATCTTCTTTCTTTTAGAGAGGCCAGAGAGAGAATTTTACCATAAAGTTAGGGCCTAAAACGTGATCGGCCCGAAAAATCACAAAGACGGTGTAAGTTTCAATATTCATCCTGTAAATAGAATACAAAACAATTGCAGAACAAAATACAGAGAAAAATTCCCTAAAAGTTCAGCCAAATCCAAAAAATTATATTTTGATCTATTTTGATGGTTAACTTTTGATCTAAAAATCAGCTTTGAAAATCAACTAGTTTTTGAAAGTAGCGTGTAGGCAGATGACGCAGGCCACAGGGCAAAAGTCCCTCGTCGGTAATTTTTATTAATTGGCGAATACATCTTACAGGTAAAATCATGTACAAGGCTCACCTCTTCCCAGTTCTCATCTTTTCGCTGTTTTTTTCGTTTATCTTTCTTTTCCTTGTTTTTCTCGTGTTTTAGCTGTTTATATAGCTCTTGCCGTCGAAGCTTGTTCTTCACTGTAGAAAGATCGAGCTTTATCTTTTTTGACTTCTTTTCTTTACCAGATACCGCAGTTTTTCTCTTTTTTGTAGATGAATCCTCCACATGTTGTTCACTCTCCTCGTCAGCCATATTGAAAGAGAACTTTCTCTCGAAAGAGAGGCAGAAAAAACTAAGAATTTCCTAAACGAGACGGACAGAAGAGGGCCTTTCTGTTGTTAACATTGTTACTGCAAAGCTTGGAATTGTTGAAAAAATGAGTCGAGATTCGAGCAGTCACCATGGTGGAAGTAAATCTAAAGCAAAGGCAAAAGCTTCTAGTATGACAGCCGAACTTGAAAACCAATTTATTCTCCGGTTGCCAGAAGACCACGCGCAAATTCTGCAGGAAGAGATAAAGAATGGTTCTTTGAAAGATAATTTGAGCATTGAAATCCTCGGCGATAGCAGGCATGGAACTGTCAAATTTCACAGCACTTCTTTTTCTGCAAAAGTCATGGACCTCCCATCTGTTGTTGAATCCTGGAAAACATTAGATAAGAAGAGCTTCTGGAAAACAGCAGACATTTGTCAGCTTTTGTTATGTGTAGATGAAGAGGCGTCCGAAAGTAGCTCCGACGAAGATGATTCTAAGTACATAGATCAATTTAAAAAGCAGCAAGTGTTGGCAAAAAAATTTCAGTACCAGCATGGTCTCACGCCACCGTTAAAAAACGTCAAGAAAAAACGTTTTCGTAAAACTGCAAAGAAAAAATATATTGAAGCACCTGAGGTTGAAAAGGAAGTGAAGAGATTGCTTCGAGCAGATATTAGCGCTGTTGATGTTAGATATGAGGTTCTTCAAGATGAAGATAAACAAGAGGATAATCGTAGTGTTGCTTCTGATTTAGATGTCGGTACCTCTTTGATGCAGTCACCCTCAAATATCAATGAAGACAGCATGCAGTTTGGTGGTTCAGAATTTGAAGGAGAGGAAAGTGCAATCCTACCTGATATTAGTAGCAGTGAGGATGAAGTTGATATGGCTGATTTTGTAAATGAAAGCAACACATCAAAGGACAGTTTTTCAAGAGTAGTATCCTCAGGTGCATCTGATGTTATTGCCGAGCGAATGGTTGAGCTACAACAAACATTGCTTGATGTCCAATCAAAAAGAGAAGAACAGGAAATGCGTGTGCAAAATGCTGCAAATCCATTTTTAAAGCAAAGATTTCAAGGCATACTTGATGGTCTACTGCAGAAAGAAAGTGCTCTTCTTTGTGAAATCAATGAGTTGCAGATGAAATGAAATTAATTGTAAAGAAATAAGATGTGGATTCAATGCAAGCTGCAGATGAAATAATAAACCATTTTTAAAATCATGCACAATTGTTTTATTGTATTGCCAGATAAAATAGGAAGTACCATCATATAGAAACTGCTTGTAAATATTAAATATTATATGTATACCTGAAAACTCTTGTCTTGTGCATAATTTCATACTTATCCAAAGACAAAATAACCGGGATGCATGTGCCCCCACTTTTCAGAAACAGAATGAAGTGCTTGTTTTCAGCTAAAAAGGCTCCTCTTGTTATTACATGTGTCCTATGCCTATGTACTTCTCAACTGAAAAGGCTTTTGACTGAGCAGGTTTCGGGATCAGACTGACCTTTTTATGATCATTTTGAGGCAGACCATTTAAAATTAAAGTACTTTTCTGCATCCCCCCTTGGAATATGAAAATTAACACTAGCTCTAGGATATGACTGCTTTTTAATAGAGAAGCAATGTAAAAGTGCATTTCTGTCAACTTATGGGTTTTAATAAAATGTCCTGGCTTTCATTTGCAGTTTCAAAAGTGTTGGTACTGAATTTTCAATGGGTACCAACAGTGTGTTAAATTTGTCTTTTTGTACTTTCGCCATTAGCAACATTGATGCTCCTTTAAAAATAGGTGAACTGAATCTTCACTACTTCTTAAGGAAACATTACATTCCGGAAGATAATTTTCAAAAGATTCATTCTAGGATCATATTCTATGATTTTGAAGAAAAGCTAGAGGACAGAAAATGATGTTAATTATACTTGTGAGGCAATTTTTTGTTGGCACTCAAATAATTGTAGCACATATTTGGAAACTTGAAGAATAATATTTTTCAACACGAAGCCAGGTCCATGCAGAAAATGATTTCACACCCTGTTATCAGGAGTTCATTGCCATTTTTAACTTGATTCTTCTGCCTTGATTATCAAATTTTGCCATATTTACCTATCTTGCCTTGAAGTATAAAGTATGACAACTTTGTCAGGATAACTATGAGGGCTTATACCCAGTTATACAAGATGATTATATCATCAATTCGCTGCAACTTTAGTTAATTTAACTATAGCAATGCCAAAATACTATAACATATATTATTTCATCTAATGTGTTTCATAGAGTTCATATTCAGATAAATACACTGGTTTTTGGCTGTGAACTTTTTCGAAAATTGATGAAGCAAACTTCAAACATTTGTTACTCTAACAAGGATTCAGTTTCATAGCCAAAACTATCTAACATTGAAGCGAAAGCAAATATTTGATTGATATAAGCCACCAAAAAGCTTTTCAAAAAAGGGCAGTAAAAACAGCTCATCAACACAAAATTGTGCAATGGAAAATTAAAAAATCATTGAAAACAACATGACTTTAAAAGAAAGCAGAAATTAACAGCAGAATTATGTTTTCAGAAAATTTCATCAAAAAACAATATTTTGAATCAAAATTTTTCACGACACTCTGACCTACACTTCAGGCAGTGAAAACTGAAAATTGCCATATGTTGGCACTTCAAAGATTTTGCCTCCTGAAGAACATCTGCCTTGTTCAAGTCAAAATTTGCCATATGATTGGTTGTTTGTTTGCTGAATAACTGTAGCACTGCCAGGTCTCTAGCTTCAACTGCATATTCAAGTGCCTTCAGATCACTTTTCTCAACCTTCACTGCCAACAAGCAGGCAACGATTTTATGTAACATAGTTATATCGCTGCTTTCGGTACAATAAAGAAATAAGTACACAAAAATCAAACATATGCCTTGTAGTTCTATCATTCAAATTCATAAGCAATGTTCTTATTTTGATAATAGAAGCATCCAACAAGAAATAAAAGCTAACCAACAGCCCTAGTTTGCATGCTCACCATTATATGAAACTGTGTATCTTTAAATAAATAATGATCACATCAACAATTAGAAAATGGAGATATGACAATGTGAATTTTGGTAAAATACAGATTCCACCTAGTTATTTTGCTTTTTCCTTAAGATAGCCTTTCAGCATAACAAACATTGGTTTTGCTGGTTTTTTTACTTATCATCACAAACCTTGATGTAATTTGTTATCAAAGTGTCTTTACAAGAATAGAAAAAAGAAATCATCAACCACTAACAATTGCATAAGAAGGTGATTCATATTCAAGAAGGTGATAAGTCAGTAATTGGTGTTGCTTTGTCATTTTCTTTGCATCCACATTACTTGCTTGTTTTAAAAAGCTGCAGAAAACTCTTTTTATTGTCCATTTCTTCTTTTAAGAACGATATTTAACTTACAAATGAGACATATTTACACTGTTCCAAATAAGCACCAGACACCAGCAAGCATCTTCAATCCCAGCCAATTTTGAATTTTGTAATGCGAGGTTCACTTGCTAAAATGTTTCTTTGAAGCTAGAATGGAAACAGTACAAGAAATTATGCATATGCATACCATTAAAAGCTATTGCTCAAATGACAACAACCTAAGAGCACTTACATTTGTGGGAAAGTTTTCTGCATTATGTCAATAACTGATTAAAATGAAATAGAATAGCAAATTTAGCTTCATGTGTATTTTAAAAAACTTTGCTTTAAATTACCTTTTATTTTTCTTTTTCAAAGTTCCAAAAGCATGTACATTGCATACATGCATCCAAACGAGACTTTGAGTTACAAGTTTTGGGGCATTCAAAAACCTACCTATCCAGATATCTATAGACCCTTTGATCTTTTGTGATAAAAAACTTTGAGGGGCACTGACAATTAGAATAATACAGATAAAAAGGAATAATAATCTGAAGAAAATTCCAGAAATATATATACTTTAATACTCACCTGTTCATAAATTGGAGTCACTGGAGGATTTTCACGCAACTCTGGATCAATGTATTCATTGCTTACATAATAACCAACTCTGACAAATTCTAATTTTTTGTATGAACACGTGAGTAGTACCACAGTTACCCCAACAGCATCTTGTGGTGGTAATTGTTTTTCATCAGGACAATCTGCCTGTAAATACAAACAATTGTTATAAATATCCCTACAAAATGCACACCAAATGGTTGATATAGTCGTCATACTTGTTGCTTTAGAAAAGTAGATAAAGTTTAAGAATGTGTGTCAGGCTTTTGATAACATAAAGCAAAGTTAATTTTTCTGTGACAATTGAAGGTAACGATGTAAACTGTGTGGTCTTATTAACTATGATGGGTTTAAATAATCCCAGGTATAAGTTTTGATGCAACTGAAAATGACATATAATCAGACACTGCTACTTCATGAACAGGTAACTATCTTTTGAATGCTGTTAATCACTTTTGCCACTTCTTGGTGATTTTTCATCTCCTGCACTTGATCTTACAACTTACCAAGACGTATGTCAGATAATTGGGTTGTCCCTAATGGTTATATTTTTCACATAAGGACATAAAATATTATATCTGGTGGGAAATATACCTGGAACACGAACATGTGTCTACCGGCAGGGACAGGACCAACTAAAACAGTATCAAGGACTTGATCAAGCTCAGCATTCTCTGCAGAACCAACATATATGACTTTCCACTCTAGATCTGGAAAATAAAAATCACATGTTAAACCTTCACAATCTTTGTCATAAGGAAATCACCATGTGTGTGATAAACCAGTCACACACCTAATTGTGCAACATTGTAATGTGGAGTTGGCGCTCACTGATTTCAGTTTGCCAATTAACAGTTGAAACATTAACGTGCCAAAGAGTCTAGAGGGACAAATCAAAATGAAAATGAAGACAATCAAATACATCATCAACTACCATAATTCTTAATCTATGCCACCACCAAGTTTGCAGAGTAAGCTCCAAAAATGCTGAATCTGCCAAGTAAAGAACAGATTCACAACTCTAAGGGGGGTGTCACACACCCCAACCCTCCAACTCCTCCCCCCTATAGCATTGTCCCTGCTTTGATCGTCGGAAGATTCCCCAATCAGGGCAAAAACGGGAAGGCGGGAGTTTTGATCATTACATGTGTTCCGGAGGAAATTGAAAAAGCAAAGCAATTAGCCTATTGAAACAAAACAATTTTGGCCACTGGATCAACATATCACAATAGGAAGACGGAATAGGCACTATTAAAAGAATTAGCAAATGTTGCACAGTTAATGAAAAACAAAGCAAAAAGGGCAAAAAACGATGGCCAAGTATATAATCGCTTGCATCAATCGCTTGCATTATTGGTGTCATGCTTGTGGCGATCGCAGGCATTAAACGAAAAAAAGACTGCCTTTATTTGAAAACAGAAATTTAAAAAAAGCTGAATTTAGAACTTGAGATTAGAGCAAAGATGGGCTTAAAAACAAGTACATGCAAATATGTAGGCTTTCAAAACCTGGTCCACATTTGACCAAAGGGACCAAAGAGTCTCTCGACAAAAAGCACACCCTTGGTATTACTACCCATGTTAAAATACAACCTAGCCTTCTACCACTAAGTTTTTTGCGACCCAGCAGTTCTTTAAAGAAAATTTTCAGTGTTCACTTATATTCCATCATTTCAATAACTTCCACCATCTACCTATTTTTCATAGAACAAATTTTATATATAGCCATTGCCATTTACAAATGCCATTTAAAGTTCTTCTGAAAAAAAAATTCAAAATATTTCAGTCATTTTTCTGATTGAACACTTAATCAAAGAACAACCTTATTCATGTCACAGCTTGGTCACACTTTCTAGAAACTGTGTGTGGCAAATATCATAAAAATTAATTCAACTAAAATCACAAAGCAAAGTTTAGTACAAATTAGCAGATTTTCTGTCAGAACTGTCTTTTAAAACCAAAAGCTCCTAGATTTGTGATTTTAGATGAATTAATGCTACTCCAGAGAGGCAGAAATTAATCTTTTCTGTTTCGGTTAAAACCTCCAAAGACAAAAAATTTTCGGAAAAGATGCCAGGGTGCATTCCATGTCAACTGTGCGCCAAAGGTCCACAGGGCATTTGTTTAGGTACCCCAAAAATATAAAAGCAGTTTGTGAAACAATATAAACATTGTTGCACCAGACAAAGAAAACTGATTATGAAAGAAAACTGTGGTGTACGAGTCTTTATTTTATGTTAACTATGTACATGTTTAGCATGCCAACTAACGAAAATTTCAAGTATGCCAAAAAATTTTTATCAGTTTGAACGCCAAACGCCAAAAAAAATCTGGGTGTATGCCGAAAATCTTCGGGCCTAAGTACATGGAATGCACCCTGAAAAAATGTCTTTTAATGCAAAAAAATACTGACTGACAAGAGCTAAAATCAGTATTTAAATGTTTAAACTGGCCATTTAGCAAAAGCTGACGGATCCACATCCCCCTCCCAACGCAATATCCACCCCTGTACTTCCCTATCTATTATTACCTATCTTCACATGATCCACACTTTACTACGAAAAAATTTTACCAGAAAATTTGATGGCATTATTATTATAACTCGAGGGGGTTTGACAGTGGTATGCCCAAATTCTACTGGCTGGGGTGAAAAAGTAGGAAAATGGTTTCGGAGATTCTTTTACACTTCAAACCATGGTCAAATTGGGTCCGTGGTTATTACTTTTCCGGGTAAGCAAGATCGAGCGCAGCAGGATTACTAACTAGCTCACAGAAAAAGAAATTCTCACGTTTTGTAAGGTTCAGCAATAAATTAAGATAAAACATACCTTCTGGTAAGTCATCTGTGCATTCGAAGGTAATTTGAAACTGAAATGGATTAAAAAATTTTGACGGGTTATCCAGGACAGTCACGTCTATAATTCGCACTTTTGCCATGGCTAGGCCTGTTGCTTTAGATGTGAGCACTCAAGGTAACGGATATATTTATTTCAGCTTTCTCGCTTCTCTTTAGCTCTAGTTGTCCAAAATCCTCTAGCTATAAATGCATGACCATCAATAAAACTGCAACGATTCTATACTTTTATCTTTCAAATCAAACGAAAAACCTGTCCCGCAAGGCAGCAAACTCCTAATCGACTTTCAGAAAAAATGGCGCCAAATAATTGTTGTGGAAGTACAATCATGTTGGACACACAGAGTTAAAAGGGCGGCATACAAGCGTGATCAGTACCTTTTTCTCTGTATAGGGGTGCCGTGCCTTGGGGAGGAAACATTTGGTGAAGTTATAATAAGGCCGCTGGGCGGAGGTTGTAAAAGGGGGGGGGGGCAAAATGAAAAAAGGGCATAAACAAATTTTTGGCGTAACATTTGATATTGCCAAGAATGGTACAATCTTTGCTGGAGGGAAGACATGGCAATGTACGCCATTCAGGGCCACGCACTCCTGAGCATACCACGCACTCCTCGTGGCAGATGAAGCTTTTTGTTTGTGTAAATCTTTCCTCGATGTTTGATTCATATTTTCTTTAACAAATTTGTACTTAATTTTCCTTTTAATTTTTATTTTGAGAGGGGGTTGCCCCGTTTAAGCTGCAGGCAAACATCCTTCCCCGATATTTGTAAAAGGTGCATTATATTCGCAAATATTCAGATTAATTATAAAATACCAAAGAAGAAATGAATCTATATGAATGCAATCATGCGTGCAAAAGAAATAAATCCTTGGACATTAATCCGAAACTATAATGTACAGAGTTGAAAAATATTCTTGAATTTTAATTCTATCTATTCCAAAGCGAATTTTCCGTTTCTATCTCTTTCAAAGTGCAGTTTCGGTCTCTGTCTCTTTCAAAGCAATTTTTCAGTCTCTGTCTCTTTCAAAGCAAATTTTCACTCTCTGTCGCTTTTAAAGCCAATTTTCAGTCTCTGTCTCTTACAAAGCCAATTTTCAGTCTCTGTCTCTTTCTAAGCCAATTTTCAGCCTCTGTTTCTAACAAAGCGAATTTTCAGTCTCTGTCTCTTTTAAAGCCAATTTTCAGCCTCTGTCTCTTTCAAAGCAAATTTTCACTCTCTTTCTCTTTCAAAGCAAATTTTCAGTCTCTGTCTCTTACAAAGCAAATTTTCAGTCTCTGTCTCTTTCAAAGCAAATTTTCTCTCTCTTTCTCTTTCAAAGCCAATTTTCAGTCTCTGTCTCTTACAAAGCAAATTTTCAGTCTCTGTCTCTTACAAAGCAAATTTTCACTCTCTTTCTCTTTCAAAGCAAATTTTCAGTCTCTGTCTCTTTCAAAGCCAATTTTCAGTCTCTGTCTCTCACAAAGCAAATTTTCATTCTCTGTCTCTTTCAAAGCAAATTTTCAGTCTCTGTCTCTTTCAAAGCAAATTTTCAGTCTCTGTCTCTTTCAAAGCAAATTTTCACTCTCTTTCTCTTTCAAAGCAAATTTTCACTCTCTTTCTCTTTCAAAGCCAATTTTCAGTCTCTGTCTCTTACAAAGCAAATTTTCAGTCTCTGTCTCTTTCAAAGCAAATTTTCAGTCTCTGTCTCTTTCAAAGCAAATTTTCACTCTCTTTCTCTTTCAAAGCAAATTTTCACTCTCTTTCTCTTTCAAAGCCAATTTTCAGTCTCTGTCTCTTACAAAGCAAATTTTCAGTCTCTGTCTCTTTCAAAGCAAATTTTCAGTCTCTGTCTCTTTCAAAGCAAATTTTCACTCTCTTTCTCTTTCAAAGCAAATTTTCACTCTCTTTCTCTTTCAAAGCCAATTTTCAGTCTCTGTCTCTTACAAAGCAAATTTTCAGTCTCTGTCTCTTTCAAAGCAAATTTTCAGTCTCTGTCTCTTTCAAAGCAAATTTTCACTCTCTTTCTCTTTCAAAGCAAATTTTCACTCTCTTTCTCTTTCAAAGCCAATTTTCAGTCTCTGTCTCTTACAAAGCAAATTTTCAGTCTCTGTCTCTTTCAAAGCAAATTTTCAGTCTCTGTCTCTTTCAAAGCAAATTTTCACTCTCTTTCTCTTTCAAAGCAAATTTTCACTCTCTTTCTCTTTCAAAGCCAATTTTCAGTCTCTGTCTCTTACAAAGCAAATTTTCAGTCTCTGTCTCTTTCAAAGCAAATTTTCAGTCTCTGTCTCTTTCAAAGCAAATTTTCACTCTCTTTCTCTTTCAAAGCAAATTTTCAGTTTCTGTCTCTTACAAAGCAAATTTTCAGTGTCTGTCTCTTTCAAAGCGAATTTTCAGTCTCTGTCTCTTACAAAGCAAATTTTCAGTCTCTGTCTTTTACAAAGCGAATTTTCAGTCTCTGTCTCTTTCAAAGCAAATTTTCACTCTCTGTCTCTTTCAAAGCCAATTTTCTCTCTCTGTCTCTTTCAAAGCAAATTTTCACTCTCTGTCTCTTTCAAAGCAAATTTTCACTCTCTGTCTCTTTCAAAGCAAATTTTCACTCTCTATCTCTTTCAAAGCAAATTTTCAGTCTCTGTCTCTTTCAAAGCAAATTTTCAGTCTCTGTCTCTTTCAAAGCAAATTTTCAGTCTCTGTCTTTTACAAAGCAAATTTTCAGTCTCTATCTCTTCCAAACTGTGCTAAACAGCTTAGAAACTGTGTAATAGTACGCTGGTCGACCCACATGTACTGAGAACTTTTTCGCAGTAGATGTTGTTAGAGAATGAGAATCATAGAAGATTGCGCTTTCTCCAGTAATGTTAAGACTTAAGTTGTTTTACTAAGCATCTAAGGGTAAAACATCTTGCTGTGAAAAAATAGAACTTACAACATATTTTCAAAAAAGGGCACTTTTTACGCTTTTTCAAATCAAGGGGGCCTGTGCCCCCGTGGCCCCCAGCTCCGGCGGCCTTGTAATTAGACCAAAACAGAAGATTATGACTGAAGAAGCCTTGTGGTGTTGGGTGGAAAGTCGCTACAGGTTTTAGCGCCCCCTGGCAAGCCCTTCTTTTGTGAGAAAAGTTTTCTTACTGAAATTTCAAAGGCTAGATATATCTCGTTTTGCACCGATTTACTATTAAATAAGAAAATAAAATTTTTCCTTGAAATGATTTTGTTTGTTTGAGTATCACAATACATCCAAAACATTTTAAGGTTCTCTTTCGTATTCAACAAATATGATGTCCAGCTTGTCTTTCTTTTCTTCCCTTTCGCCCTCTACATCCAAGAATATTGAGTTCTCTATGGGTTGAACTGATGCTTCTGAAAGCACTTCATAATTTCTCTCGACTATTATTCTCTAACGTCCTAGTGGTTTATATTTGGACACCTCAACTTTTAACGGACAATCAATCAGAATTTCTTATCCCCTCGTTGCGGTTGATGATCGAAAATATTGTGAACTGTAAATGCTTCTACTTTCCTCCATGGGTTACAAAAGATTGAGTAAAAAAAACTTCAGATTAAGTGAAAAATACTTGTTTTAAACAAGAGTTTATGATATTCTTGCCCACTCTTCAGTTCCATCTTTTGGACCAACATCAAAATATTCGATTTTCGTAACTTTCTTTAACACGATCAAGATAATTTTTTGTTTAAGATAGAAATAACTTACAGAAAATGTTCCATTACTCGCCGATACATTTTCCACCGAAATTTTTTCTAATTTTTTGGTAATTAATGAAACTAGTAAAGTTGATAGTTTCCTATTTGTTCTGTTTACAGAAACGGGGAAGGAATTGCGTTGAAACTCGACACTAAGAGAACAACATTAACTTAAGTTATCCTCTAGTTATTTCTAAACACGCAAATTGCTGAATATCTGAGCTAAACTTCTTCAGTGCTCTTTTAGATCGCCGAGGATGGAGACTACTTCTATACTTGTCAGCCGTTAATGCTCTTCTCTTTGATTTACTCATGACAATAATTGAATTTACAAACTTTTATCTTGAGCTCCTCTATGGGGAACATCACACTGTAGAACTGAAATTTTACTGCAGATGATAGAGCACAGGGGACCACCAAAAACTTGCTTTCTTTGGGCCTCGTACTGTTCCGTAACACGATTGGTCTGGAAGATTATTTATGCAGATGAGAAAGAAAAGTGGACCAAGGACGGAGCCCGGGGGATTTTTGCAAGTACCATGAAGATGATTATCTACAAATCATAGAGGTTTCCAGAATTTTCGTATTTCATCGTTAAGATTGTCATAATTACAGGAATTTCCAAGAGATTTGTTCGAAGGGGCAGGGTAAACGGTAGAGAAAATCTCTTTTAGACAATGAAAATTCACAGCACCTTCTTTAAGGTTCTTAAAATCTTTAAAAATCTCCAACGCGGTTATTCACGCTTTTACTAGTGTTACATAATTTATCAGAAATGCTTTAGATAACCAGCTTTTTGAGGGTGAATATTTTTATTGATTAACCAAAAGACTTTTTATACAGTCGGTCACCAAAACACTGTGAGGTACAAGATGCTGCTCTAGCATGGTTTAGCTCCTGTTTTAGAAATAAAAGTATGTATGTGTTTGTTAATGGTTACAGGTATAAACTTCTTGGCAATCGTTCCACACAGGGCCGTAAATCTGTCATGTGAATTGGGGGGGTCAGCAGAGCGAATGAATATAAAGCATGGAGTGAGTCATGGCACCACAAGCGAATTATGGTATGTGTGTATGGAAACAGTTGATGGGGCAAATGACTTTAAAAACAAAAGTCAATATTTTTGGATTTCTCAAGACTTTCTGCTCTGTAGAAGGTATTTACAGATATTCCTTAGTACATTGACTTTTGTGTGTATGATTGGATGGATAACATTTTTCAGAGACGACCCCAAGAATTGAACCTTGGGAGCTAAGAATCAAGTCCAGTGGCGTAGGAGGACCCACCATGGTTGGGTCCGACGGAGAAGGAAATTTTTGAAATTATACCTTCTAGAAAGGCTAAAAAAGCATCCCCAGACTAAATTTAATAAAATACTAGATCACCCAAGATAGAAAATTCGACGTTTCTCAGAAGAACACAGATTATTGTTTACTGGGTGAAATTGTGGAGGGGAAGAGTCGTGCTTAAACTTTAGTGACAGACGTTGGGGAAATATGGGACGCTGTTGTATTGATTGGTAGAAATTTACTTCCTGAACAGAAATATCTTATTTTGAGTGCTTTAAGTAGGCCATGTTTACACATAAAAAATGAATACATTGTAATGCTACAGAAAATGATTTACTTAATAAAAGCAAATAATAGACAAATAATAAAAATATACGTAAATAAGTTAGTAAATAGGTCAAATAAAATGACAGATTGCTCTCTTTTTATTTCATGATCTGTTTTCAAAAATAAAACGGTAGAAAACGGTATAAAACAGCAAAAACTTTTATCTTGTAAAAATGATAAAAACTAACTCTGCTTACAAAAATAACGGCCATCAGTAAAAGTCAACTGACACTTGACACCATGACTTAGGTTTTTTGCAATAACACAGAAAAACATAGTTTGGTTCTAGCCCAGCTACTAGGGATTTCTTTCTTTCAAGGAAAATGATAGTAATTTCTAAAAAAATCGTCTTGTTCCAAATTTTTGGGGGGGTCCAGTCCCCCCCGCCCCCCCCCCCCGGGATTTACGGCCCTGGTTCCACATTTTGATTCTCAGATGGCTTAAACCCTATCAAGATCGCTGGAAAACCCTATTGTAAAACAATACTTCGAGTTGGACTGCACCACCAGGGCCTACACCAACAGTGATATATAGAGGGGCGGATATCATAATATTTCCGACGACATATCTACTCGAATGGCAAATTTAATACTACGCTTGCGTCTCATTTGCCATTTCCCATTTGCTAGGTATACTGTAGGTATAGTAGCCCAACCCAATTGGCTATATTTCAGATGCAGATAGATTTCTAAGATGTAGTCGCCTTCTTGGTGAAGTGACTAGTCAAGGCACATGACCACTAAATTATTCCGCAAGGACCCACTTTGACCCGCAAGGACCCACTTTGGCTATTTTCAGTCAATGCAACATAAAATAATCGATCAAAAGTAAAATTGCTGATAATAAAATGTGGAAATTTAAGAAGAATATCACGAGCCAGTCGTTGGTATGCGACTTATGATTGTAGAGAATCCTGAAATTTTCCGACAAGCATTCAGATTTCCGACAAACAGTCTTATAGGGGGGGGGGGTGACGCGCCCTCCCATGCCCCCATTGGCATCGGCTCTGCGCGCCTTTAAACAACAAACAGAATATTTTTATATCTTTGTTCTAGCATAATGCTTTTAGCACTCAATTGTATCCAATATCAACTTAAATATAATTAAATATAATATAATAATTGGCCACTTAAATATTTTAAGACGTACTTTAACTCAAATTTTGATAATTCGAGTTGAACGGCTGTTGCTAGTGGACAGAGGACACTTGATGAAAAACTGTTTCATAAGATGATACGCTTCAAAGTGGTGCAGCAAATTGAAGAGTATCTAGGAGATTAACTAAACAGGCGTAAAGCTAGATAAACAGATTTGCCTTGGAAATCAATAAAATGACGAATAACCCACCATGAAGCTTACACAGTACCAAAGTAAGCCATAACAACAAGCCAAATGTACTGTAAATAAAGAATTATTTATTCCAAAAAAGGAAATAAACACCGATACGAGAATGCATTTCAGACTCCATGTAACGCCTGTTTACTAAATGGTATTATCCCCCATTTTGCCAAGCTTCAAAATTTTAAGAAATAATGTAAATCCTTTGCATTCTTCGATTGAAGCATTAAGACTGTTTTGAAATGAACAGATATGTCACCTGCATAAAGGTTTTTAAAGATGCCTATTTGCCACAGAGGAAGTGCTAAAACTATTTATAAAGATTGAACACCCAAAGAAAGTTTTACCAGCAGCATACCATGAAACATACAAACAGTGACTCGTATACTGGGGCTACTCGAATGAATGCTCAAAGAGTCGAATATCTCCAAAAAGCGGCTTTTCATCCGATGCATTCTTCCAGAATCAGGTTCCTGGCCATCAGTTCTTCCTCTTGCGTCAGCCTGTCATGCAAATGGTGACGGATGGCCTCCACATATGCTTCCACTCTCCACGATGTTCTGCCCACTCTGATTTCTTTCTTTGCCCAATTGTTTGTGTTGATTCTGATTATATATAATGCCCAATGATGATCTTCAGTTATTGTTGCAAGTATCAGAGCAAAGCATTATGTAAAATACTTTTTAGTACATTTTAGTAGACTTGAGAATCAGACAGTTTCAGGTTTATATTGCTGTTTTCACTAAGAAAAAGAAAACTTTTGAAATATGCAAAAGGCGTTCCTTGATTCTTCTTCCACTCCAAACATGTACACACATTTTTCTTGAAAATTAACAAAGGTCGATGTTCATTACTCCAGCGTCCTACACTTCAGGTAATTCCATTACTCGCTGTTCGTGAGAGTTTATTAATATGATGTCATTAACTTCAACATTCGGGACCCTATCTTCAATTTTTCATGAAGTTTTCCAACAGAATCTTGTTGGGAAGAATTTCACCGCTGCAAAACAATTGCCGACGTTTCTATTGTTTTTAAATGCTGACGACATTGCAGTCAAAAGACTTGCTTCGTTCTATTGATGTACTTAGAGGAGGAAGTACAGAAGCTTCTTAACTTTTTCCTACCATCCAGTACCCGCTTCTGACAGGGAGGAACATATAAAATAAAAATGAATATAGTTTTATGTTGGGATGCCATATAGGCATTTTCGATCTGCATAAACACAATTTTGCAGTCAAAGCATCAACATCGTGGAAAAGGCATTCAGTCCCTTAATACTTCAAAGGGGTATTAAGATTTAAAGGTATACATCAGTATTAAGCTGTACAACAACAGTGCGCGGTAAATTTCTGAAAGGGTGCTATTACTATAACAAGTTTAATAAAATTAGGCAAACATCATACAACGATAGCTGTAATGTTTCTTATCTTTATACGCCTTTGGTTTCTGCTATGGTAAACAGAAGTATATTTGTGGAAAGAGCAAATAGAAATTCAGTTTTTTGCCGATAAAGAATGAAAAGAACAGGTTGTTCTGTTGTAAATATTTATACAAGCCTGATTTACATAATGGCAGGTGCGCGCTTACGTACTAGGTTCACAACAAAGCTATTTCAGCCTGTGAAAAACAGCGCATAAATCAAAGATTCAGTCACGCCGAGGTTGAATTTTTAATGGCATGACCGATCGAGCAGTATTTTTGTTGCTTGCGATAGTTCTTTGTTGAAAATTTGCAAATAATCACTGATGACATTCTTAAGCGACGATCCAACAATGTGAAGTAAAGGATTTCAGGAGAAGATCCGGTAATGTAGTGGTTTCGAAGCTAATCGCGGCAAATCTATTGTTTATTTGATATCTGACATCAAAAATGAGATGCATGTTGATGTTCAGGTACGTCTTAAATAATAGCTTGCGAGTCTGGGAAGGAATTAGAAACACAAACAGTGTTCTTAGAAGTTCTTAGGATTGAAATGGTTTGTCCATTTTAAGTGAGGTATTCCGTTGCAAGTGAAGAGAAGTGATTGTGAAGTGTATGCAGACACACTGCTTTGTTGATTATTATACGGACTTCTTGTGAGGTGGGAGCTATTGCCTAGGAACTTGCTTAATCCAGTTTGTAATTACTGCATCGAAATGGAAGCAGGCGAACTGAGCCCTTGTAAGGCTAGTTGTTCTAGAAAGCCGTTATCAAGAGACCCAAGCATTTTACAGCAAAACAACTCAAGCAAAAAAGTCAAGATAAATGTTGGAGGTCAAGTACACGAAGCATTTGCAAGCACGTTAAAAAACGTCCCGGATTCACCGCTAGCTTTGATTTTGCAAGAGAACTACAAAGACATGCTCGACTTTGACAAAGAAAATGGCGAATTATTTTTTGATCGTCACCCGGAAGTCTTTTCTCAAGTGCTGGATTATTTTCAAACTGGCAAACTTCACTACCCAAGAAGCATATGCGGACCACTGTTCGAGGAAGAGCTTAAGTTTTGGGGCATTGAAGAGCAACAGATGGAGACATGTTGTTGGCACACATACACCCACCACCGAGTCGCTCAAGACCATTTGAAAATATTCGCAGCTCAGCAAGACGATGAAGAGGTAAGGTTGCACGATGCTGAGCTAGGAAGAGCCACAAAATTTTATGATGATAACAACAACATTCCAACACAACGCGACACATTAAAATACAGAGTTTGGAGGATTCTTGATGAGCCATCGTCTTCTTCAGCGGCTAAGGTAAGCATACGATGGAAAGTGCAATTCAATTCATCTACAATCCTATTTCATTTTGCACAGTGAATTCATTCAAAAAAATTGAAAATCCTATAGAGAAACGAATTCAAAATGCTGAAACAGCAGAATTACATTAACCCAAAACTAGAAATCATGTGGATTGATGTCTTATGCGATTAAATTATTATAAACGAATTAGACACTCTCGTAGAGGTTATCTGCTCAACATGTAGATGCCCTCATGGGGAAAGATAGGACAAAGACGTAGGAACAGGGGGTCCAGAAGGGATGAGGCCCGTCAGCATCTTTTCAGAAACAAAAATAGAGCCCCCAGCTACAGCTTACGAGTGCAGCCCTTTCTGCGCTTCCCACGTCCATGAGATATGCTGTTAAGCAGTTCATCTAGAATTTGTCCAGGTTTCAATGAAAATCTATATAAGATTGTCAATGAGATAGTTTTCTTTGTTATGGTTGATATGTCAAAATGGGTCACAATAGCATAGGAAAGGTCACAATAGCAGGCTGCTCGGCGGATTCCGATTGAATTCTTGCGGCGAAAAGTCTATAAAAGTGTACCAAACAAGGAACATGGCAGAACAAACAACATTTAACACACTTAAATCAAATGTGGTTATTTTCTCGCCTCGGCAAACGGGGTTTCCTCAGAGCAGGAGTAAACGGACTAAAAAATGCATAAATTTATTTGTGATGTCGGATTGGTGGATGTGGAATGGTGTGAATGCAGCGCAGCGGAGAAGAAACAGGTAATTAAAGGAGAAGATGAAAAGATGGCGCGTGATTGGAGTGAGCGTGGGTGGTGTTTGATGCCTGTTGTTTTTATGCTGGGAAAAGCGCACTGCGAAGCGTGGGCTTATTCAAAAAGTACTTCACTTTTCTTTTCATATTATCAACTTTTAATGAAGGGCAGTTGTAGAATTATCCTGGAACGTCGGCGAAAGCTCTTTAGGGGAAAAATGTTTAACGTTTTTAGAAGAAATTCTCTGCGCAGGCAGACACCATTTTTTCCTTGGGGAAAAGTAAATGAGATAATAGATTGTATCAGAAATAACCAAACTTACAGAAAAGCACAAATGAAAGAACTTACTGTAACATAATTACTTATTTGCAAGGTTGTTCTTATTCAAACTATGTACAAATAATTACAAGAAAGTTAAATTGTTCGCATTAACTTGTGTTTTTAACACAAATGCTTTCTAGCAGATATTTTGAATTGCTGATTTTGGCACATAGAAGATGAATGGTAGCGGTCTTTGAAAGAAGATTCCTGCTTATATCTGGCTTAAAAAAGAAATAAATTTGTAATCTTACATAACAATTATTTACTGAAGACCGAACCATGGGCTGCGACGTGACGTTAACAAACTGTTGCCTATTGCAAACACTGCGAGTAAGTCACAAAAATTGGACACACAAAGCCAGCTGCTGATAGAGGGTTTTCTTGCATAACAGATCAAAAAGCTAAATATTTCTAAGTTCTGCTTTGAAAAACACGCTCTACAAATTAGCCCAATTTTCAGATAGCGTATTTCTACTAACGAAGGCCGCGGCGTTTATTACAAGATCCAACTTTTTGATGCAGCGTTCAATTGAGAGTGACGTTTATCAGAGGACGGCGCTTAATAAAAAATTGTTTAGTTTCTTTTCCCAAAATACGTAATAGAGATTGTGTAAAAAGATTTCTAAAGTTCACAAAAGATGCGTCTACGTTATGGAAATGTCAGGGAATGTCAATATCTGTCTCCGTCAGAGTCCTCGTCTCTATTACATAACAACTTTCATAGCTTTCAAATAGTAGGCGCAAAAACTATTCGTTACTTCGTGTTTAGCGTGTTTTCTAATGAACGCTGCTTTTAAAGTTGCGACGTTTAAAAGAGAGCGGCGTTTATGAGAGGGTAACATTTTTTACAAACTGATGTCTGTAGGTGCGGCGTTTAATAGAGGGCGCCGTTTATCAGAGGAAATACGGTATGCTAACACAGCCATTAACTTCTGCCCTTGGTTTTACAGCTTTTCATTCAAGCATAATTTTGTGATAGTAAGAACTTCCTTGACAAATAAACATACCGAATTTGCAGCATAATCCAAAAAACATTTTAAACTTGATCTTTCCTGTAGTAATCTTTCTGGGACTGGGATATCTTCTCAAATTCAATCTATACTCTTGCGGATTTACATCAAAACTAGACAGTTTTCTAGTTGTAGGTCTCTTTGAAGTACTTGGTATTTTCATGGCGCATGGAATGTTTTCCGATATCGTGGATGTACAAAGCATTGTTAATCGTAATTAGCCAATGGCGTATATTATTTTAGGTCTTGGGCTGATTCGTGATCAGATGCATAGCGTTAAGTATTCTCTAGCTCTCCTTTAGCACTTTCTTGGGCTACAAGCATAAAATGCTCTTTACGTATTATTGCTGCCAGAATTAAAATTATTATTTGTTTATCTTTTTAGCTCTACGCTTGGTTTTCTCTGACGTTTGTGGTGCTTTCAGTTGTCACTTTCACCATGTTCACAATGAATACTGCACCAATATCTCAGAATCATTCAGTCAATGGAACAGTTATCTCAAACAAAACAGAATTCAAAAACACGAGCAGTTGTAAGTATTAATAGAGGAAATGTTTTATATTGACAAAGAAGCTAATAAGAGGAAACATATTAAAGGCACCATGCCGGACACATTTGACTAGCCATTTTGATTTCCTATTGGTTGCACAGCCCTATTGTTCCGTATCCAATAGGCTACTCAAGGCTTATTCTCGATGTTTTCTCCATCATAAACGCGCTCCAAAGCCTGTTGTTTACTGTCAATGGTTGACTGACGGGACATAGCGCCTTTAAGGTCTCAGAGATGATTATTTGCATTCTCTCCTTAATCTGTTTTGTTAGGAGTTTTACAGGGCTCATGTCTTACTCCTTTTATTTACTGATTACTGACATTTACATCATGTTTCTGACAATCCAGCGTTACTTGTGATATTGAAATTCATTGTATTTGGCAACGAAACAAACACGGTGCTTTTTAGCACACCAAATTATAACACACTGTTCAAAAATTGCAAGAAAAAGATTAGATGAGATAAAAATACTAAATTTTATTAACTGTTGATATTTAGGTATTCAAAGAATTATTATAGATATGGAGCTAAATATTAAATTCTTCATAAAACAATATGTAAATGAATACTTTGTTCTTGTAGATTCAAGAAAAAATTCCCAATTATGGCTGATGTTTGCACCCATTGAGCGATATGCACAGTGTGGTTCACTCTGGAACTTGCTATTCGAGTCATTTTCTGTCCAAGCAAAAGGCAGTTCTTTACAAGCTTATCTACAATGCTAGACGTTTTAGCACTTGTGACGTCATATCTATTATTGTTTTTGTCAAATGAGTACCCTGACCTTGGTGGTATTTTGAACATGGCACGGTTCTTTCGCATAACAAAGTTCTTCAGGATGTTTTACTCGCTGCAAATTCTTGGTCGTACTCTAAGAGCCAGTGCATACCACTTCTTGACACTACTGTTCCTCCTTTCAATCCCAGTGATAATGTTTTCCAGTTTGATGCATTACATAGAAAAGAACTGGGGAGGTGAAAAATCCAAAGTCACCATGCAGAGTATTCCAAGGACCCTGTGGTGGGCAATAATTACCATGACAACAGTTGGTTATGGCGATGCTGTCCCACAGTCAATACCAGGACTCTTCGTGGGCGCAGCTGCTGCCATTATGGGTGTTATCATCTTGTCGCTGACTGGCTCGATCCTGGGTAGCACATTTGAACGATACTACAATTTGGCACAAACTCAGCTGAGAATCCCAAAGAATAGACACAACAAAATCAGTGTGCCTTTCGAAAGCCTACATGAAATGGCTGGCATGCCTATACAAGAGATTTCCAAATCAAGCATCAAATCGTGCAATACTTATCTTAGTGGAAGGGATAGCGGATACGGTCATTCTCCAGTTGCAAAGCAAAGAGGTCGTTCCGTAAGCCACCCCCCTAGTAAAAGAAGTGTGACGGGTTATCAGCGTCGTGGTAGTCTTCATATCGACGTGAAATGACCACAAAGTTTGCTTTGAGAACAAGATCTTCAACAGGGCCGGTCCCGACTGGAGATGTATGAATCTATCACTCAACGATCAATTATTCACTATGAGTTATTTTTTGAAAAACATTATTTTTCGTCGAATCTTCATTATGCAAATGGCAGTAAAATTTATGTTGCAGTGAAGCTAGAAATCTATTTAAAACAGACATTTCTTACCACTACTGATATGATGCACTCAAAGATTATCATAAGATTAGTATCCAATGCATTATCAATTGTACACCTATGATGGCGACACAGTATTTTTTATAAAGACGGACTATACGTTGCAAATGTATTGATCAATTCCCTTAATCTTCCCTCACATCCTGAGGGTTTATGCCAATAGATTGTGTGTTGATGCGATTTCAAAAGCCTTTCAAACAAAAAGTTTGAACTCGAATCTCAACAAGTCATCAAAGAAAACCCTCTATATAGAAGTTTCTTTTGTCATTAATATGAAATCTTTTGTTGCAAGAAGTATCAAAATTTGACAATGAGAGAAAGAACACCGTAATGCGCATTTGGAAAGCTGAAAAGACGATATGATTGAACAACAAGCTGCTTATACCTTAACCCAGCATTGAGATCTTCGTCAGATCTACAAATTCAATGTGTAAAAATTTATCTATTTCAAGCAAATTGACGTCAACCTTCAGCCAAGAACCAGTATTGCAGCATTAGATTATCTGCTAAGACTATGAACAATATAAAAAGTTTATGTTTTAATTCTTGCCTTATATTTGGTTATGGGGGTATTACATATTTATATCATGGGATTCTCTTGCTGGTTCTTGATTATTTTTGAAAAGTTAAATTAAAAAGTTCATATTTGTTTTTTGTGGATGGCTATATACTGTTAATGTAATTCGAGATCTTCTGCATTCCAGCAGTCGAATAAACATACACTCAATCACGTTTTGGTTGTTCTAGGTTACAACTCCGATCGAGTTATCCATTAGGCAGTTAGCCAGTCATATATCACGCTACAATCTCATTTTGCTTTAGATGGTGGCAAGACATTCTGAGGTGTGATACCTTTCACATCTAGAAATAGAATCTACCAATCACTGCTTTTGAAAGTTATTCCTTTCTACTTCCTGATTTGAAGAAAATTATGTTATTATCAAGTTATTGCTCGATATTTTTCATTCCTCAACATTTCAAGTGAAGCTGTTCTTTTGTGTGCGATGAGCATTGTGCGAGTTCAATCAATTGAAAATCTCGTGTCTATCATTTAGCAACCATGTTACTGACATTTTCTCCTTTCTTATTGATTTTTGCATGCATACTGCAACGAAGCTGCCTGGTAATAATAAACACAAATTTTCAAACACAAGTACTGTAACTTTTAAATGGCTCGATGGGAACGGATTCTTTCTGGGACCAATCCGTTTCAAAAAGAAAATGTGGCAGTCGGGTATCCGAATGATGACGTAAAGCGGTGAGCAGTGATGACGCAAAGTAGCACAGAATGATAAAAAGTAAGATAGAATGATTGATCGAAGGAGAATATTGAGAAATTGGTTTATAAAAATTGCTTCAATTCTCTGTATTTTTGTACTATTCTGAAAACGCAGGCAATGTTTTCTTGAATAACTGCTGAAAAACAAACCGGGTAATGAATGGAAAGCAATAGAATTTGTGTTCTTCTTTTAGGCTTCATAGTTGCAAAACAATGTTCTTCTAGCTTTAAAACGGGGTAAGGGCTCATACTTTCTTCTTGCTGTCCCTCCTGTCCCAAATTATCATGGGGGTTTTTGGCTCGACGGCACTGTGTATATAATACTAAATAGTGAAACAAAAAGTGTAGAAAATATGGAAAAATAACATGCAAAAAGCTCTCTTTGTCGGAAACTGAACATTTTCATTTTGCAATCGAAATTTCATGTCATGCCGTGAAGCAAAAATCTACTTCTTTTAGCTGTTGCCACGACGTTGTCAAGTTTGAAATCTAGTGTGAAAACGCAATTTAAAAAAAATTCGGTAAACTTTATCTTTTCAGTATGTATTTTAGTTTTAGAAAGGTGAGTGTAGACAGGTATCACAAATATTTTTACCAGTATATTGCTGTTTATCGAAACTAACACCTTGATTGTGGTAGTAAGGACTTTACTTGAAAGCTGATTAATCAAAAGAAACTATATTGGGACATCATTCTTTCCTTGGCGAGATTCGTTCTTGCATCTTACTTTCGAGGTTCTTGCAGAGGCCCTCTTTTGGTGACTTCAGAGGAATTGGTGATTTCAGGCATCGATTCTAATCAAAACGCACAAACAATTTGATCAATTTTATTGAAATGTTTTTAAATATTTCAAAACATTTTTAGATTCAGAGAAAAAAGTAATAAAAGTTAAATGAAGACTAAATTTTCTGAAGAATCTTTCCTTGGTCATCTAGAAAAGACGCAAAAAATCACACGATTGAGCATTAATTCATCTTTTTAAATTGTTATCATAGGGAAAGTAGAAAATTCTATGTTTAAAAAAAAAGGAAAAATAAGGATGGATAGTCACACAATGGAAAAAAACTGTAAATGTGTCCAGCATACATGCATGGTCTACTGATTAACTGCATAATGTACTTTGGGCAGGATAAATAAGAGTTTTCCCTTTTTCTTTTGAACTGAAACTATTACAAAGAAATCACAAGGGCCTTCTTTACAACAGACAAATAGAGCAAAGCATTATGGGAAAGGCTGGAAGACTAGACGCATGTGAGTTATGATGTACGAAAAGGTAATCAAAATTCTAAAGAGTAATTTTCAAGGTATTAAAAGTTCACGTTCTAAATACTTGCCGACGAAGGATGTTATAAAATGTTTAATAGAAAATTTAAGTGAAATTGCAGGCATCTAGAAACCATTTTAGGTGTCTGTATCTTCAACAGACAGAATGTTCATTAGAAATACATGGACATCTGAAGATTTGTCTGCCGAAACTAAGCCAATTTAAATCTCGCATAGAAGATGACTTAAATTCATATTACTTCTCATACCGTCAGTTCTGTTATTAACAAGAATCATTTTAAACTCATGTTTAAATCTCACCATAAATATCATTGTTTATACCGTGCTCGGTGCTTTTTGCCAAACTTGAATTTTTATTAGATTTGATATTATCTCATACCACATATGCTGTCTGTTAAGCTTCGATCTAAACTGATAAGGGTCGAATCTTATGACAGATACGAAACGACAGTTCAATAAACAAATGTCATTAAATGACAACTGACCGATTTCTAGCCCACGATTGCATCTAAACCGAAAATGACAAATTACTCCAGAACCTAGACTGTCTACTTCAAGTTAATTCTATACTAAGCAAAAAGATCATATTTTGAAATTGTTAAGGAGTAATCAACCAAAACAGCAAGCTATGGCCCGTCAATAACTTCAAAGCACGTTGCATTGAAATTATGTTGACAATAGAGAAGCAAGTGGGGATGGGGGGGGGCTGAAGCTCCTTATTTTGCAAAGGAGTTATAGTGGAAGGGTACACAAACCTGGTAAATTCTTTCTAAGGAAACAGTTAAAATTTGACGCTAATACCTAGTAGCTAAGCAACTATTCCATATCTTAAGAAAAATGTGCAATATTCTTATTGAATTCACTGCTCATCAAATATAAATTTGAAGTGTGTGTTTTTACTTAAACTGTTCAATTGTCTTATTGCCTTTTTTGATTTATTCGAAAGTATAGTCAGCTTTTCATGTAAGAACATGCTGCTTTCTCACCAGCTAAAAATCGTTTAAAACCAATACTATAATAATTGCATTCAACCACTATTAAAAAATGTTTAAAAAACCTCATAATAAAAAGACTTCATTAGCTTGCAATTTTCGGCCATAACAAAGAACGTATAACAATTTTTTAATATTTGTTTGAGTGCCGCTTGGCTTGGGCACTAGCTTTCTTTACATATAATTTAACTCTGGTACAAGTTCTACGCTTAAATCAATTGATCTTATTCTTTAACGAACTATTACTGTTTCGTTTCATAATGATAATGCTGAAAAATTTGGTTGTTTTGTAACGTTAGATATCAAAGAAATGTATCAAATTCACAGTGACAAGCCATCTTGTCTATAGCAGTTACGTCTATGTACGGCGATGTACTTGACATTCATATGTTCACCCGTGATATGTTAATGAGGAGCAACGCAGTGTCCAAGCCGTTGCCTTAACCAACATCCATGTCCAAGAGCACAAAGACCGTTCTCTGACAACTGAGCCCCTACCATACCATCAATCTAGATTTTCAACCCAGATATGCAACTAGACCCCGTTCATACTGCTCCGTATTTATATGAAAACGGATAAAAAAGTATACGTTTGTGCCTTGCGTTCACACTGCTCCATCTTGAAAACGGAGACTTTTGAAAACGCACTTTGAAAATGGAGACTTTTGAAAACGGAGGCTTTTGAAAATGCAAAAACGCAGTGTGAACACCGAAAACAGAAACTTTTGAAAACGCTAGCAACAACAACACAGCAAGATACTTAGACAACTTTTCTTAACATGGCTGATTCACTCGAAGTTAGCATACTACTCGGAGGAATATTAGTGGCAGTGAGCTGTTTGAAAAGTTTATTAGCAGTGGCAAGTGCTGCAAACTAGTTCGTGGCTTTTTCCTTTTTATCGAGAGCGGAGCAATGTGAACGCTTCATCGTTTTTACACCGTTATCAAATGTATCCGAAGCAGTGTGAACAGGTAAAACGGATCGATACGAAAACGGACAAAAATGAATACGGAGCAATGTGAACATAGCCTAACTAACACCGCATGGCTAGTTAAGTTGATGTAAACAGTTTGCTTTTGCAGCCATACTCATCTTGACATCCTAACATTTATTGCTAAGATACACTTTCAAAAGACGTATAAATGTCATTCATAATTTGCAAAGAAAAGGTGTGGTGTAGATAACCCATTCAGAGTCTCCCGATGAAAAACTACAATTTACACTCGGATGAAAACAAAATTAAGAGACCATCGTTGTGATCACCTTCAACTTTAAGAAACTGCTCGAAATTAATTCTTTTAGAGATAGGATGAGAATGATTCTTCTAGACCATTGCGTACTTATTTCTGCATTCATAGATATTATAGGAAAGAACTCTTTGCGACTGGCTAGGTGTTCTGTTCAATGTTCTGTCAAGCTTTCATTACCATGCTTTTCGTGTGTTATTCAAGTGTGATATAAGCGTCATCACCAAATTCAAGATATTAAGCACTTATTCTTAGTTTAGTTTCTTTTGAAAAAATTCTATATTTAAAATCACAAAGCAAGACGACGATAAGCAATTCAATTCAACGAGAAATATTTTTCCTTTGAGCAATACAGACAAGCTTGCATTTGAAGTTCGAATAAGTCAATCAGTGAATTTTTTAGGGACAGAAGTCTTTTTTTCTTCTTACAAGAGGAGGAAGTCTGAAAAATTTCGCCCTTTGTCACCCTCCAATTCTATAAGGATTTGTTCTGTCTCAAGAATTGGCGTTTATCTTGCGTGTGTTCAGGAATATTGCTGAACACACGCAGGAATATTTCAAGAATAAGGATGTATGTATTAGGTGCAATAGCAAATGAAATCCCAACTCATTAAGAGATTTTAAGTTCGGTATTACCAAAAAAATTATAAAGAAGCTACACGATGCTCGATACACAACCGAACTAGTCTTCATCAGAGGCAGTTGAAAGGGTTCCGCAAAAAGGTGTACAATCTAATTTTTTGAAATTCCTGTTTTGTTTATTGCTTCCTATATCCTTTATCATGTTGTTTTGCCCTTGTGTTTTACTAATTGATAAAAAATAAATGGGTTACCCGTC